ATCTCCTTGAAAAGTCGTTTCCGTTCAAAAGACTCCACTAGGACCTCCGGAGGTGAAGAGTAGAAGAAGGTCCGGAAGCGTTGCTTGAGCTGATAAGCTCCTTCGGTCGAGGTGCGGGTGGTTGAGAAGACCGGCTGGAAGAAGTGGCGCCGCTCGATACCAGAATATCGAGGATCGCGAATGGATCTTCCTCGATGGCAGCTCGATATTCTGGCACGCCGCTTGAAGTGGGCCCGGTCAGCATAGGCAAAGTTGGCGAGATTAGCTCGACCATTGGCATCGAGAATGGGTGAGAACCCATTTGTTCTGTGGTAGTGGGAGATGGGGAGTCTGGGATTTGAACCGTGGGAATAATTACTAAAAAAGAAAACAAGTCGAAAAGATAAGTCAGAGAGTTAAATTAAGGATGAAACGAAGAATCCAATGATGAAAGCATAAAGGGAAAATACCAGGAGGAGGAAGAGCAAGCGGCATTGAGATAGGTGGGAGAGTTTGTGCAGTCTCAGCTTGCTGTAAATCGAAACGGTTGATTAGAGAAGGAAATATATAGACATAAAAAGAGACACACACAAGTAAAAAGAACTATACCTCAGGGATCGGTGTTGAAGGCTGAAGCTGAGTTTCGACAGTTGTCGATATAGTCGCCGATGGATTATCCTAAAAATTTTATCGAAAATGTGAGTCATGATACAAGTCTTATCAAAATCTAAGACATGGAAATTAGAGAAAAAGGAAACTCACGTGACTAGAATGGGTGACGGGTGTTGTTTGACCCGTGGAGGGAACGATGTTAGAATCCATCGATAATGGATCTGCGGTGGATGATTGAACTGGACGTGGACTCTTCGATTTTTTCTGTAGGGTAGAAATCGAAAAGAGATATGAGAATCCATAAGGAAACATGTTATAAAAAGAAAAATGAATAAAAAATACCTTCGATTTTTTCGAAGACGAAGTGGTGGTGGTGGCCGATTGTTTTCGCTTTCTGGTGAAGGCCAGAGGGTCCGACTCATCTGGGGACTCCCAGCTTGCGTCTTTTTCTTTCTCTTGTGCCTTCTCGAAGGCGACCACCTTAGTAGATTTTGAAACTGTCGAGGAATGAAGATAGTTAGTTTCCAAAACACAGAATTGAAAATCGAGAAAAAACAATAAAACCTCACCAAAAGGTGATGGAGTCAAAATTTTGACTCGATCAATATGTACTAGCCAAGGAGGCAGGAGAGCTTCAGGGAGGTTTAGGTAAGGAAAGTAAAACAATTTCGATACAGAAATGTCTTTGTTTTTGGGTTTTGGGCGACGTGTTTCTTTAAGGGTTCTCAATTCTCGAACCCATTTGGGATGAGTTAAAGGTTTTGCGAGTCCAAAAGGTGCTGTAGGAAAAGTGGGAAGGCGATCGGGACAATACATTTCAAAAGGGGTTTTTCCTAAGGGATTAATTATTTTGTGGTTCGATCTATTGGTATCTGTTTTTCGGGATAAGGAAATGACAGCATCATAAAAGGTCGATTCTAGTTTTAGTGGAGTATAACATATTTGATAAAAATTCTCGAATCGAGATATTTGGAGACAAGTGGAAGTGTGTACCTTTCTTCCCTTTCGACTTGTCCTGCAACACAAGAGAAGGACGAGCGGTCGGTTTCGTCGAATCTCGTCAAAAACGAGCACGATTATTCGAAAACCAATTGGTCCACCATTGAGAAAATTCCACGATCGATAAGTAATTCGATTCAAATACATATGGATAAAGATGCATCGAAGTTCTTGGCAAAAATTTGGCAAGCTATCGTACGATGTTCGACTCGATCAATTTGGATTTGGGGAAGGTATTTAAAGGGAAAAAGGGTAAAGACCGGCTCGGGCCAAATTGTCTTGAAAAAAGTTGAGGGTAGTAAGTAGTAAACTTGAAATCCTTGGGGTGAAAGCCCGATACTAATATATCCTGGGTTAAGTAGTTACTCCATATATCGACCAATTCTAATTGCAACCCGGGAGTTGAAACAGGAAACTTTGACTTAAACCAAATAGGCCCCCTAAGTTGGCCACTTGTTCGTCCAAGATTTACGATAAAAGGGGCCAAGGTTGAATCGAAATCGAATCTAGTTAACAAAAAGTGAAGGTATTTGCAATAGGTAGTTTCGTCGGACTTATGGCGAGGATGGCGAGAGGATAATCGGGCCCTTCTATATTTACACTCGGGGAACAATAGAAAATCGAGGAAGGACGCTCTCAAAAATTGAAGTTAACCATAACTATATAAACCAAACGGGGCGAGAAAAATTCCCAGATGCCTTAGGAGTACTCAAAATTTCGACGACCTCGTCGAAAGCGGTATGTACATGCGCTAACAAAAATTTGGCCAAACATAGGCTAGGATGACCTAAGTGAAGGAGATACGCAAGGTTGAATAGATGGGGGAAATTTGGATCGATCGGGGGCAAAACACATGGGTGCACGACCAATACACCAAAAATGCTACATGTTCTTCATCGATAATGACTATCGAGGGATCATCAACAAAATGTTTCTCAATAAAATGCCCGTAGGCCTTCGATTCCCAATCAATTTTGGACTTCAATGAATTATCCGAGGGATATGCACCCTGAAAGTATCTCTCCCCTATAGGTTTTAACCCAGTGATGGCTGCGACATCGAAAAGAGTAGGTGAGAGAGGGCCGCAAGGTAATTCCAACGCATGTATTTCCTTATTCCACAAATGCACGGCAGCCAAAAACATAGCCATGTCTAAGTAGGACAAGTCACATTGAGATAAGTGTAAAAAATCGAAAATCCCCACGTTCTTCCAATGGTCCCCGAATTTAGCCTTGACCTTATCAAACCATTTAGTGAACAAAGATTTTTTGGAAGGAGGGCCTGTCCGATACACCTTAGAAACAAGGTTCAGAAAATCGATCCTAACTTCAGGCTGATGTACAAGAGCAGGGCTGTTTGAGAGGGTGAGGGGAGAAACAGTTCCGCTACCAGAAAGAATGGGGCCCCCAAAAGCAAAACCAACCCCCTCAACAGTATAAGGAACTAATACCTGTGTTTCAGCAATCTTTTTGGAAGCTTCCTCCATCAAAGGCAGGGGAGCAAACCGCTAGTTGTTAATCTCCAGCAAGGTAGCAGCGGATGAGGCAAGAGGGGGAGTCGAGAAATCAGATGACTTGGATGAAGTGGCCATTGGAGTAAGCTTAGGAAAACAGAAAGGGAAGAATTAACGGATGAGGTAACAGGGACGAAGGCAGGAGTTCAAAGGAGAAGATAAGATTGCAAAGAGGGTGATAGTTCGCGTAAAGACCAGAGTAAAGACCAAAGAAAGATTAAAGGGAAATTGTCTAGGGAGTTGGAAGCGACGGAAAGGAAGGTAATTAATGTAACTTGTACTGAAAGGCAACAGACTGACGAGACGGCGACGTAAAGTGGAAAAGAAACCTAAAACCCCTTTTAATCCTAGAACCCTAGAAACCCTAAACCCTAAATCCTGTGGGCTTTCAAACACTAAGGCGGGAATATTGAAAGAATATAAAACAGAAATCATTTATATTCTTCCAAGGGGGCATTTTGTTAGTGGCAAATCGAGAAAAGCGATCGAAATCGAAGGAAAGAAATGTGACTCGATAAGATAAACAAAAACTCATTCGATATCTAATTAGAAATACGTAGCACATAGTATCGAGAAGCACAATTGAGAATCAAATGAATTATAATCAAATGACTGTTGTCGAATAAAAACTAAGTCATATAAGACCATGGTTAAAAAGGAATCGTAAGCAATTCGAAGTTCTCGAAAAATACAGAATCGAGAGAAAAGAAAGCCAATATGGACATCGAGACTTTGGCCACATCGTGAAAGGAAGTAAGTCGAATGTACGTATAAAGAGCAGTTTTGAAATCATGGGAAAAGTCAGAGATCGTGAGAACGTGGGAAACTATAGAAGATAAACTGTCATACGCACGTAGAACGTGGTAGCAGTCGCGTTAACTGCTCTCGGAAGGCTTGAAGGATGCCCTATAAATAGAGCAAAGGAGGAAGGAACAAGGGGGGGAAGAGAAATTGACAGAGAACAGAATCAGTAGTGACAAGTCTACCGGAGAAACGACGAACACCATGAAGCTTCTGGCAATCTGGATTTCCTTACTCACTGAGTACATTTACCGCTTTCTGTATTTTCCTTGGTAATTTACTTTGGCGCAACTTAAATTCAGCATTTTTATGTTTCTGTATTTTCGATTCCTTGTCCATTTCAATTCAATGAAAATTTGAGTTTCTGCATTTAGATTTCCTGTTATTTAACATTCTGCAAATCTCAATTTCCTGTCATTTACTTTTCTTGCAATCTCGATTTCTTGTCATTTATATTTGCGTTGTTTTAGATTTCTTGCTATTTACAATTAATGCAAGTTTGGGGTTTTCGCAATTTACATTTCCTCGCAATTTAATATTCGTTTTTCGATTCGATAGTCTTAATGCTTTCGATACTTTAAATACAAAACACCAAAAACAAGCATTTTCGATATCCTGTAGTTTTCGATTCTCATACACGTTTTCGATTGAAAATCAAATTGCTAGCCTAAGTAAAAAGAACTTACGTGGTAGAATTTTGATTAGGACCAAAACATCCTTAGAATCGAAATCGATCGAAATTCCACCAGAAACAATAACATAAAATTCTCTGGTTTATAATTTGTTTTAAAAATATGCAATTCCATTTTGTATATAAATATGGTGATAACCATTGTTTAATTTAAATACAATTTAAAAAATTATATGGTGACACTTAATCAAATTGAAGAAGACATAACTTTATATAAATAGACAAACTATTGGAGAAACATAACTTTATATAAATGAAAATATTAATATAACTCAAACATAACTTAATTGTTCTATAATAATACATTCACAACACCTTCTTCAACAATCCATTATCCTTCAGCACGTGACCTTCAGCACATGTTCCGCACCAACCCTCCACCCATTATCCTTCCGATTTTCTGTTATGGGAGGAGACAATCTTAATTCACTAAACATAAAGTCTGTTCTTTTAGAGACTTCTGGAAGACATATGTTTGGTCATGATGTTTTGCTTTTAGTAAATATAAAGTATATATTTTTTAAATTAGAATTATAATTAATTCATTCGTTATATTTTTATACATTAAAAAATAATATTAATAAAATAATAATATAAAACAATTAACACAAATATATAATACTATAAAAATAATTAAATAAATATATAGTGGAATTTTGGTATGACAAAATTAAGTTTTATAACACTGATATCACAACAATCCATTTTTTTCTGCATATTCATTTTATAACTCTATTTTAATTTTATAACTCTACTTTATTGTATCTTTTATGAAGTTACTATCGTATATATATAAAAAATATGAGATAAATTTATTATCCAAAATATCATAATAACATAATAATACATTAAGTGCATAATATAATTCTAATGTAAATATACTTTTTAAAGTGTTCAACCGTTGAATGCATTCTTTATTATTTAATATTTATTAATTAAATAATTAATATAATTATATTTATTAATAAAATAAATATTTGTAATATTTATAAATTAAATAAGTTATATATTAATATTTATTAATTAAATAAATAATATAATTATAATTTTTAATAAAATAATAAATTTATTAATATTTGATTAAAAATATTAATTTATTATAATCAAAATTACAGACACATTATTTTTGTCGATAATAAATATAACACTTATATCTTAATTATCGATAAAAATTTTCGTTGATAATATAAAATTATCAATAAAATAATATTTATCCATAAATGTTCGTTGATAATATAAATTACCTACTAATAACATTTATTGAAAATTAAAAATTTTCTTATATTTTTCCCCTACATTATTAATAAAACATTAGCCTCTTACTCAAAAATATAATTAAATAATCACGTTTTAGAAATCATAACACTATTTCATGACATATTTAACAAAATTAAAATAAAAAATATATAAAAGTGTAATAAATAAATTTAAATGATAAAACCCATATAATAATAATAATAATAATAATAATAATAATAATAATAATAATAAATCATACAAAATAAATTTATGTTTAAAAAATAATACCAAAGTACCAAGTAAGGCTTGGGGTTAATCATTTATGTATATTTTATTTTTCATTTTACTTTATTTCTAACATAAAAGTTAAAGGTTCAATGTATAATTTTCCCTTGTATTTTTGAAAGTTGGTTTTATTTCTTATAAATTTAAAAAATAATAAATTAATTTTTCTAAAAAATATATAAATTTAATATTTTTAATGAATAATATTAAATATTAAATGTTAAACTTAAGTATAAAGAATAATTAAGATCTTTATTTGCTACATTAAAACGAAAATTTATAATTAAATGTTAAAATTAAATATAAAAAATAAAAAAAAATTTAATTATTTGACCGATTTGATAATTTAAAAATACAAAAGAAAAAAATAATTTTGTGAAAAAATAATTTTCCCAAAAATAATACAAAATTATCTGTTGAGCATAACATCTTTAATTCTTTTACGTGAATCGATATTTTCTTTATTCACCAATCCCTATAATATATAATACGCTTCCATTTTTTTTTCATAAATAAAGTGTTCATAACTTAAATTTAAAACTGTTTTCAATAAGAATAGATTGTCACATGGGGAATCGAAAAAAAAAAATACATGGAAGAATAGGATATGGGAGTTTTAACCATGGAGCAAGTTTTCTTTAATCTAATTGGTATGAATTGGGCCTAGCCTAGCTTTCACGGCTTACTTAATTTAACACGGGCCTTGATTATTTGGCCCAAACGTATTTCAATGGTTTTTCTTTTGCTTTTCGTTGAAGAACATGAAGAATAGAAATTAGATCTGTATATATATTATTGTCAATATATATATATATATATATATATATATATATAATAATAATAATAATAATAATAATAATAATAATAATAATAATAATAATAATAATAATAATAAATAATCTTTAAAGAGATAAGAACAAAAACTTTAAATAATACGAGTATTGATATGCAAATAAAATAATAAAAAAATTACTAAAATGATTTTGAATAATTATTTATATTTGTTATATTTTGAATATTAATTATTATATTATTAATATGATATTGTATATAATTAAGTAACTAAGTATATTAATTATGTTTTATTATTATAATATGTATTTAAAATAAATAATTAAAAAATATTTTTATTAAAGGAAATAAATATAAATAAATATTAAATTTTAGACCATATATAAATCCTTTTATCTTAAAATGTTAATATTACCAATAAGATTGATAATGAAACGAATTTGTGATATTTAATCTGACTAATACATTGTCACAAGAGTTGTTTCTTAAAGTTGGAAAAACATTAAACTTAAATTATGTGAACTTCTCCTATAATTTGTGCCTAATATATTCACATAAATATAATTTTTTAAACAAATATTATGTTATTAAATATAATCAATACGGAAATTAGACAGTTACAATATATAATTTTTTAAAATGAAAAAAATAATTATGGATAATTTTTTATGATTTTAAAGAATGCATAAGATTTGAAAATAACCCTAGTATTTTTAATTGGTAGGTGAAGATGAATAATGGAATGAATGGGAAGGAAAGTTCCTGGACAGCGCTGGGTAATTTCCTCGAAACTAACGAAACTCTTCTCCTATAAGTTGTTTGTTTGACTTAGTAGTTGAAGTGATTCGAAGTCATGTCTGGTATGCTTCCAGGAGTTGAATGTGCTCGAAGAAGACGATTGCATAACAAAGCTTCTTCGCGCGATTCCACCAACCGATCCTCTCTGTGTTTGTATTCTACCAGGAAACTTCAATCCCCTTTGTTGGTTCGTATCATCCTCTTTCATTCTCTTTCACTCTTATTTCTTCATTTTACACCATTTCTTTTTCTCTTATATGCGCTTAATGAGATGTAATAATCCAATGGAATCAGGAAAGAAACATGGTGAATCAGACAGACTCAGATGAGAATCTGGGAGGAGCAGCACGTGAAGCCAAACGGCGATTGGATGAGAAGCTCGCTGGGCTTGTCAAACCAGAAAATACACCACAAAACAAAGGCTTCTTTTCGATGTTTTGCCGCAGCAACTCAGAATCTAGGGATCTAGGAAAAATTTAAGACAATATTTTAATTAGTCTAAACAATGATCAGAAACAAGAAAAGGAATATATTATCTTTTTTGGATCCGTGGGTTAGGATAAAAGTGGGTAGAAGAGGAGATTGATAAGATCAAACTGGATGAGAGTGAAATGTATTGAGATTTGTTATTTGTTTATGTGTTGGAGATATTTGAGATGGTTTGAAAAGTATAGATCATTTTCATTTACTTTGTAACTATTCAATTCATATCATCCAAATTTCTTTCTGCAACAGAAGAGGACCATGTAAGAATACGACGAGTAAATACAAAAACATGAAAAATTTCGCCCAAAGTAGATATGGAAAAGGATTGTACTCGTACACAATCCTTAATCAATTAAAATCTGAGATTATAAAACTGATAAATCCCAACCTTCCTACTTTTATAATTTTTCAATCCAATAATATTATTTTTAGACTTTTCAACACTCCTATAATCACCATATTGATAATGGTTTTTTGAAAAAAAAAAAAAACTAAATGACATGCAGAAAAATAATATAATTTAAAGGTATACTTCATGAATGTTGAGATAAAAAAAGTAGAGATATCAGTTTATTACAGACTAATTACAAAGGTATAAATACTTAATCAACCATTTATATTACCAATAAACATTATAATTGATTAGAAGATAAAAAAAAATCAGCAAGAGGAAAAGATAAGAAACTAAGAACAGTAAAAGAATTGATAAGATGCTAATCATAAATTAAAAAAAGAATTTTTTTTTTCTTTTCTGTAAAACAATGTCTTAAATAATTGATTTTCTTTTCCTTTATGACAAGAAAAATAATTAATGAAAAGGACTATGTTTGGATTGGTCACGTGGATGGTCTTTCTTTCCCATTCACAACGGCTAGTTTGTAATTCTAGCATGAAGTGACTGTTTAGATTATCTTCCCAAATTCAAAATATGAAAACATACATAGTTTCAGAAACAGTCTTCAACTTCTTCAAAAGATAAACATCACTCTTTTGTCACAAAAAGCCACATTCTCTGTTGTGAAACCTTCATCTAACTTCAACAATAATGGTGTACTCCTATTACACACCCACATACTACTCAACCCTCCAGGACTCCATCACCTCGCTGTGCAAGACCATTCTTCCTTTCAGCTTCAAGAAACGACCGTTACCTGCGGCAGAACACAAATTGTCTAAACTGCAATCAGACAACCTTAAATGGCAGCAAGACTCTTTTCACCAAGTGCTGAACTTGATGGGTCTTCACAAAGAAGGCATCTTGGCTGAATCTGAGGTTTCAGCCTTCAGAACTCACTTGTTAGACACCCTCATTGCCTCTCCTCCAGAACAGGAACACCCAGTTATACTAAGAGACAAGCTTCTGTTTCTCCAGGTCAGTTTGAATCAGATTCATTTTTCCGTGAAAACTAATCTTTGAGTTTTTTTAATTTGGATTTATACTAGATGATTGAGTATGACGTTTAGTTATTTTAGGTAAATGTTTACATATTCATGTGGAACAATTGATTCTGGATCTAGAATTTATTTTGAATGAAAGGGTTTTGGTAATTATTTGGGTCATATAAAATTGTCACTGATTTTTACTGCTAATTTTGCTCTTTAAATTGAAACACTCAACACATGGACTTTTATGTTTGTTGAAACATGGATTTTGCTTTGTTACCAGGAACTTCTTTATGCGAAGTGCATTTCTGAAGAAGAGTACCACTCTTCTAAGAGGCCATTGCTTCAGAGGCTGGCGGCTCAAGGGACTCAGATTGAAGCTAGGGATGTGATCGTAGCAAAGACTAAGGAGTTAAAAGAGAATTCGGAAGAAGAGTGGTCGGTTATTGACTTGAAGGATGAGAAATGCTCTGTGAACAAAGAGAATGCGGGTTGTAAGAGCAGATCTAATCAGGGATCAGCTAAGAAGCAGATTAAAGGAGCTGCCTCAGTTTTTGGCTTTGGCAAAGGTGGGAAAAATGGGACAGAAAAGAGCATATTTGATTCACTTTCTTTGTCTGCCAAAAATGAAAACCCCTTCTGGGATGCTCAAACAAAGGGAACACAAAGTGAAGGAGGGTCAATTCTTATGGAGGAAAGTGAGCCTCCAGAAGCAGTGAAGGAGAGTAGTGGTTTGGACAAGTTGAAGAGGAAACCATTTAGGACTTTGTTTCATAAGGAGCAAAAAGAGAGACATGGTGGTGGTGGTGAGCAAGATCAAAGATCAGGTAAATTAGTTAAAAAGCAATGGGGGTTTGAAGGGTTCAAGAAATGGAAGAGGAATGAGTCAGAAGATGAGACATCTTTGCCACTTAATGAGAGGTCTGATAATGAGGCCTACTCAGCTTCCTTTGGAAAGACACTTTGGGAGGGACCAGACACCAAGTTAATAAAGAAGAAGTTGCATTCTGATGGCTCCCCATCCGATTTTTTCATAGATAAGGTTTTAAGATCCTCCATTCCTTTCAATTTATGAATCTCATTTCCTTATCCAGTTAATTTTGGGCATGTAATGCAAAATCTCTTTGTACATAATGAACAGGTTTTGGGAGACAAGATAAAGAAGGAGTTGTCAAGAATCCAGACAGAACTGAGCAGCACAAACCCACATCTTAAATTTTCGTAAGTATTTTCTGATACATATGTAATTTTCTTTAGCTTTTTGCTACATCATGTCTTGCATATGAACTGTGATGCTGGCTACTTGTACAAACAGGAATGATCAGATTGAAGCAATTTCCACCAGAATTCCAGTGGACAAGGCTGAGTTGAAAAATTTCTTTCCCAAGTGAGTCATAAACCCCTTTTTTTTTTTTCATATATATTAAAATTTAACCTTTGATTGAATGACTTGTTTTTATGTAACACTGGAAATAATTTGTTGTGTTTGAAGATCATGGTGTGACCGATATGGTGATGTTGTGCTGGATGTGGTGAAGAAAGAATTCAAAGACCATGTTGCGGAAATGGAGAACATGCGGAACGTAGCTAGAGAAAAACACAGCAACTCTAGGCGGTGGACAACAACAACATTTGACGATGACGAAAACATTCATCCAGATATTTCTGGTCATCGTAATAACTCAGTTCGCAGCAGTAACATCAATCCATTTTCTCATGGCTTCGCTTAGTTGAAGATCTGGATCAGCTTCGTCTCTAAGAAGCTCATCCGTACAGTATCCGTTGTACTTGAGACCAAAAAACGAGAATTTGTAATTACTGACTGTCTCAGTTATCGACAATCCTCCCTTCAGCCATGATATCAATGTTATTTAATCATGCATTTCTAGTGACAAGTCAAAAATTGTTCTACAAGTTGTTTTTTGTCCTTCGTTAATTAATTTTTTCTTGTATTGTTCACAAATATACAATTATTATTTGATGTTTCATAATTAAATTTAAAGGTTTCAAAACAAGAAAGGCACTTCCCAGAAACACAGAATTGGAAAGAAATATATTTATTCGCTTCAAATATTAAGTTTTAGACTGTAAATTTGTTTCGTGATCATACTTCTAAAATAAACGTGGGTGGCAGAACAACATGGAATGGACATCAAGGGGGAGAAGGAGAAAAAAACAATGACAAACTAAAACGTTTCATCAAGTAAACGAGTAAAATAGACTAAAAAATACTATCAAATTAAAACGTGTATATATATATATATATATATATATATATATATATATATATATATATATATATATATATATATAATTTGTGGAAAATCAAGTCAATTTTTTGTTCTAAATCTTCAGGTGACAGAGAAAAAATTCATCTGTTAAGATAAAATTATTTAATCACGGTCAAACTTCGTCTCATTCAAACCTTTAAGATATTCACAAAACATTACATAGACTTTTTTTTTTATATATATAATTATTTTTTAATTGCAATAAACAATTTAAACCTTAATATAAGGTTTCGCTTCCTACGATTCCATTAATGGAAGAAGAAAAACAAGATGGAGATACGTATTAATTAGCTTTGCCATGGATATGTACAAACAGGACTTCGGAATCATCATAAAATTTGGATAGAAAATCCGTTTTATGTATATTATTGACAGTGGCCAAATATGCTTTAAAGCATCATTTTTAGCTATTCAAAGATACACTTCATCTCAATTTAATCTCTTAAAGATCTGTGATGTCAAATTAGTCCTTTGAAGAATTTCAGTGACACCAAAACAGTCATTTGGTCAAGTTTGTGTGTGACAATTACTTGAACCATTTTGATGTCAAGTGTATCTTTAGAGGACCCAAATGGAAGCTTAGTCTAAATTTTAATATTTACATTTTATGCACAATGTCAATGAGACTGCACTTCTGAGTTGGAAGAAGACTCTGTGAACCCTCCACAGACATTGCCACGACACAGAGGACATACACTGTAAAAGAGGAAAAGTAGGTAGTGGTTATTGATGAAATGGAAACGGGTAAATATGAAAAAAGAATGATACTAGAAGACATGTTTTGGTTATCATATCGATACCCGTGTATTTCTTTGAGCCACTTGTCCACACATGACATGTGATACTCATGGAAGCAAGGAAGAACTCGTATTTGGTCCCCCTCTTCGTACTCCGCCAGACATATGTAACATCTACAATATTCACAATTAATGTTTAAGAAATAGAAAGTTTCATGTAAGTGTTCAAGGCCAAAAAACTATCATTACCATACTGACATGGACTTCGAGCATGAAAAGCTAATGACTAACAAACCATAACATTTAATCACAGCATTTATACCCACATATTTGCTTAACACAACTAGGATTAGGAATTTAGGAGCCTTACTGTTCAGCATCATTGCCTCCATCAGCCACATCAACCTTTTTGTGAGATTTCAGGGGGAAGGAATCAACAATTGATTCAGGGGCAGGGAGTGAGACCATGGATAGAGACAGTGATCCAGGTTGCCTATGGATTTCATCTAAAACCTGCAATCCAAAACATTCACAGAGCTATTCCATAAGAAATAAGAATTGGTTTTTCCTACAAAGTGGCACAGCAAAAGAAGTCCAAGATCATGTCAGAAATGGTCTAAATCACAAAATCAGATAGTCTCAATTATAAGGAGGCATGACCCTCTACAAAAGAGGCCGAAAATATGAAAAACAAATGCAGCTGCACTTGGGATGCTCTTATAATGAGCACACTACCCTGTCAATGGTATCATAATTAGATTTTTCACTGAGTGAAATGAAACTCAATAAGAACCAGCTTTAAATTAAATGCTTAACGTAAAACAAAGAATTGATATGTATTAGAGTTTACATAGTGCAAAAAAAAAAAAAAAAAAAGTAGGGTGGAAAGCTATATTGAATTAAAACTTGCAGCAAACGGTAAATATGAGAGAAGGTTAAAACCTCAAACAAAGCTTCAGCCAGCATGACTATTCTTGAAATACTTGCTCGAGTGCTAGATTCCTCAGCCATAGGGGAAGACTCGCATGAGCACATGCCATCTGCATGGAGTCCTAGTGGACATGAATTCCATCGACCAATCTCATCAAAGCCACCTCGAAGCCTATCCCAGATCTATAAAAGTAATCAATCAGCTTAAGCAACATGAAAGGGGTCATGAACCCAGATAATAAATCCAAGTAGGTGTGATATAAGCAATTTGAGGCATTCTATCCACCAAATTTTCAGAATCACCTCAGATCTAGAGTGCCGCATTCTTCGTTCGTTCAATCTGTGAATTCTACTGCCCATGTATGCAGAAGCACCTCCAATCCCATCATTTGACAAATCACCACCAAAATCAACTAGCCATCGATCTTGAGATCCAAGATCATCAGCACCTCCGGTAGAGAAGACAATTGTTGGAGAATCACCAAGCCTTCTAGAACTACGTCTTGAAAAAGCATCCCAAAATAATCTTCTACCATTCCTTCTGGCATCATGATCATTGGCATCATCATTGGTTCCAGACAAAATGTTGGAAGATATTGTGACCACGTCAACTTGAAGCACACTATCATTTCCCGGTCCTCTTTCCCGATTGGACACAAGAATACCTAAACCTGAAGGTATTGTCTCACGACAAGGTTCTTCTTCTGGCCCTTGAGAAGTTGCTGCTGAGTTGGAACCTTGAGTAATAGGGTTGGAAGAATTCTGGATAGATATGAATGCACTAGTGTGATTCTCAAGAGAAATTTCCCCAGAACTGAAATTCACATGCTCCTGAGGGGTTGAACTTCTTGGATGCACTGTCTCATGAGAGACTTGAGAGACACCACTAACCACTGGATTATTAACATCATTGATTACATCCTTGTTAGCAGAAACATTTACAGAGACTGGATCTGAAGACTGCTGTGCTACAAATGAAGTACTAGCTGTGTTGCTACTATCACTATATGATTCATGATCACTATGACCAGCACTTACCCGATAAGGAGGGGCTTGCTCCTCATGTTCAGACAAGAAGTTCCACTGACTATTTGTTGCAAAGTTTCTATAAGAACATCCAGCACTAGTATTGCCATGGAACTGGGTTCTCATATCAGATGAGTTTGAAGTTTCAGCAGGGGGACTGCAGCTTATTCTAGATTCTATACATGATAAAGATGATTCCTCATTGACTTTCTGAATTTCACCATCAAAATCTCTTGCTAAACCAACCCGAAGTTCAGATGAATGTTCTTCCATCTAAAAACACAATACAAGAATGTCACTTCCTGCATCAACCTCTCAGCAACTATTTAACAGTCCTCCCCAAATTGTACGATCTATTTAACATAGCTAGTGCATAAAATTTCAAACAATACTAACAAGTTATGTTTTCCTCGCGAAAGTATTCAACAAGTTAAGAACATATATGATATTTGGAATGCAACCTTGTATAGTTTCAGACGTGCAAAAATTAACATTGACCAACTCGTGTGCAAAACTCGGGCAAATTAATAGAAAGTAAAGTTGTGTAACTACTAGCCAGTGAATGGAGAAAGAGTTGAATTCAAAATTTGTAAATTGTGAAATTTCAAGTTTTCCCGACATTAGAGATTTGCACCATTTACTGAATCAATCAAACCACCCAGGGAAAACAATAACAATATGCTAAATCCGATAATTCTGACACAGTGATACCATGGTAAATTAGGTGTTATCAGTTGATAGTCCCATTGATTAAGCTCATATACTTCAAACCGTATAACTCAATTGATAAATTATCTGATGCTAAAAGCTCCGACAACTATGATAATTAACACACCCGAATATACTGCGAAGAAGTTCATGTATAAAAGATGATCTCACACAATCAGTTCCAAAAAAAAAAAAACAATTAACTTATCGAAAAGCCAATACTTTGACAAAAAAACTATCATAAGTCAAGCTCAATCAATAGGCTTAGCCCTTAGAAAAACTAAATTTCCACATCAATTTTACAACTACAACGAAAAAGGGGCCACAGATTTAAAAAAATCAGGAACAACGCTTTACTTTTATTTAGCCCTGTGATTAAAAGGGCGATCGCATGGATGAATCTCATATGTGAAAAATCAAATTTTTGAATTTTAAAAGTGTCCGAGACTGTAAAAAAATAAATGGGAAGGAAGGAAGTAGGATGGAGGAAGGGATTTTGGGGGAAGAGGACGAAGGGTACCTGATGAATGGAGCGAGAGGTGGAGGTGCCACATAGAAGAGACGATAATCTGAAGCGGTTGACCCTGTGAGTAGAAGAAGAAGAAGAAGAAGAAGAAGAAGAGGGGCGAGAGGCAAGTCTACTAGAAGAGGAACCCATGGTCTGTGAGAGAGAAGATTAGAGGCACCGAAAGAACAGAGCACAAGCAAGTAGCTTGGTAGCCAGATGTAGGATGTGGATGCTTATTGCTTGATGACAATGGAAAGCATACCAACTTGGAGCTTTTCTTCATTTTCAATTATTTCCCGACTTTGGGGGCATCCAATTCAAACACTCATGGAGTGTTTTCTTCCTTGTCTTTTTAATATTAATAATCATTTTCTTTTTCTAAATTTGTTTTAAAATATGATAAATAAGATATATTTTATTTTAATTAAGCAAAAAATTAGATTGTGGCTTATGTTAAAGAAACCTACCGTTGCTTCTACCAAAATCATACAAAAATTTATATTATTTCAATTATGTGTAAAATCAATCGGTTATATCAATAATCCATTATAACCAGATTTTTTTTTATAAATTTGTTGAAAAAGATATTTCCTGGTAATTACTTTTTTCGGAGATAAAAAAAATGAATTTTTAAATGAGAAAAAGAATGTGCATGAAGTGAAAAGAAAATAAAATGTTGAAAATAATCACAAAGTACAAATTTCCATATAAAAGATATCTTTTTTTTAGAACATATTTTACAAACTTAAGTTATCTAAAAAATTCAACTTATTTTACATTTTTTCTCTTAAAAAAAACCCATTGAAATCTTAGAGTCTATTTATTCCAAACAAACTCTTGATTAAAAATCTACGCTTTCCTTTATTCGTTAACATTTCATGAGGCAGGCAATTTTTTTGTCTCTTAAATATTTAATTTATTTGTTCATCTAAAGCTTATTTTGAAGGTTATAAGTTAAATTGAAATCTAATAATTCATGTTTTATTTCACCAATTAAATAACAAAACAAAAATAAGAAACTATTATTTTAAAGACGTCGATAGTATAAAATACATTTTTATACAAATATCAAATTATACATATATATATATATATATATATACTGGATAATTTTATTATTTCTAAAATAATTTGTAACAAGATTTTTGTTTGATCAGCAATTCAAAAATTTAAGATAAATTAGTAACATATTATTCACTGCACATTAGTTAAACTTTATTACAAACTATAAAATTTGTAAATTAACTCACCTAACATATGAGGGGCTCATAATTTTTTAGATTTGATCAATTTTAATTAACAACAAGGATTTGGCTTTTAAAAATATATGATAAAGAGTGTTTTATTAACATTTTTAAAAACTAAAATCCAATAAAAAGTTGTTCATATATTTTTTCCTAAATATAATAAAAACTTAGTATTATATATTAGACAGAAAAAAACTATGAAATCTCAAGTTAAAAAATAAATAATATATTAAGATATATCATATTCATGTTCAGAGGCACTGTTCTGTGGTGAGTGGAGAAACGATAATGAAATTAGCAGAAGACAGATTGGAGAACCAAAAAGCCAAATCCATAACAGCTCATAGCAAGTAAAAATCTGGTTTGTTTTTTGTTTTCTTGTCTAATAGGTCGTAGATGTGGTGCCAATAATGGGATATGCATGATAACAGAGCATAATAATTGACACAATCATCAAAACAAAAAAATGTTAACTTCGATCAAAGTTAAGTTATTTAGAGAAAAACAACAATCAATAACATTGTTGTACACGGTACACTATTTGACTTTGTCCATAAAACATACTTGTCCGTTTCTTCTTTTTACCATAAATAAATACCCAAAGCATTTGTCATGGGTTACTCTGTTTGAATTTAAATTGGGTACAACGTCACTTTTTCTTTTATTCTACAAACGTGTCACCTACTTTTATTTGTTTTTTCAAATCTTTTTACCTCTCTACATGACATCATCGTTTCAAGACTCAGTTTTTCGTAAATAATTTATATCCTAAAAAAGATTAATATGGGTAACTAGTATCTTAGTTAAGTCAATTCTTAAACTTTTGATGTTAATCCTCTTAAATTTATATCCCAATTTAAAATGTTAATTAATAATTTTTATTTCCGAACTTAGAATATACAGTTCCAAAGTTTAATTGATCTTTTTTATTATTATATTTTATATTAAATATAATAATATTGTTAGAATAAAAGTTATTTATTTTAAAATTCAAATTTATTAGAGTTCTATTTTTAAAAAACATCACGTTAATAGATTACCAAATAATGGATATAAATTATTATTATTTTTTAAATAAAATAAGACTTAAGTGTATATTAAAAAAGATTAAAAAATAGAAATAGATTGAAACTTTGTTAGACGCTTATTACTCTTTGAAAAAAATTATATATAGAGACGCGACACTAATAATATTAAATATTGAACAATAATTTTAAGGGTTATGAGATATTCATAATTTTTTTTTAAAATATATCCCTTTCATTCTTTCATCAATCAACTAGAAATAATATTTTAAAATTATTTATGGGATGTTTGAAAAAAATTAGGTGTCAGAATTTTTTGGTCCTAATTTTGAACAGAAAATATTAATTGATAACTCAAATATTAAATAATCATAATTATTATATTAACATTATTGGATGTTGATGGGTTGATCGGGTTGTGAATGGTTGAATTTAAAACCTAAAGAGTTTGTAGTGACGGAGTAGTGGGCAACAAACGGTCTTCTTGAGATTCAACTTAACTCTGCAGAAGTGTTTTTTCTTCTCTGAACTACGGCAGTGTGTAGGTTAAGTTGTGTTTGAAATAATTATTCAAATTAAATCCTTCACGTGTTGTGATGAATGTTAGTTAATGAACTAGGTTAAATCAAACACACACGTTGACTAGTAGATTTATTAAAAGATAAGGAGGAGAGGATTATTAAAAGGTAAGGTTTCATTCAATTCAACCACAAAGAGAAGAAGGTGAGAAGACAATCAACATGCACAACCCTCCCCCGCCAGCTGCTCCAGGTCCTCACCACCACCCAGACCCACCAGGCCCACCACCTCACCACCACCCAGGCCCACCCAGCCCACCACCTCCCCACCAGCCCGGCCTACCTAATCATGCACCTGCTCCGCCGCCACATGCTGCTCCTGGGGCACCGGCGCACCACCCTCCAGGGCCTCCACACCACCTCCAACGCTTCTGATGTAATGCATATATATGGAGCTTATTAATAATTATCCTTATCCTACATATATGTATATCATGTACTATTGAAATGATGCTATGATTGTGATTTCTGAATTTAATTATAGCATTTTTGCTATCATGATTGTAAGTGTTTTATGTGTATTATCATGGTAAGCCAAAATTATATATATTATGATGTGAAAGAGATTATTTATGTTCGTCGCAAAGAACGATATATACTAATTAAGGTCACCAGATTACTTTAGAATTATTTCTAAAAACTGATTATTTTGAACTTGTTTTTAAAACAGGTTCAACTTTTTTTTTTTTGTTAAGTAACTTCTTTGTCAAAAGTTGGTTTTGCATTCAATACAATTACGAAATTTCTTAGGGTGCCATAATCAGACATCACCATAAACATCTAATTATATTTCCTATCTACAATTTTTTTAAAATTTAAATTCAATAATTTTAATATTACATACATAAAATTATATATCTAACAATAATTAAAACACTTTATATGTTTCGCCTTCGCAATTTTATTATACACAAAAACTTACCAATATTTATAACACCGGAAAAATTATGTTTTTTTCCTCTATTATATTTTGTCTTTATACTTTAAATTCATGAATTAGGTTCTTGATTTGTTTTGAAATATATTATTTAGTTATTTTTATACATAAATATAATATTTAGTGGTAATCTTTATCTTAAAAAATAATAAAAATAAAATTGTTAAATGTGATTTTAATAATTTTTATACGGATATTTAATAATTAATAGTATTTTTCTGCAATAAAAATAATTGTATATATTTAAGAAAAATATATAAAAATTAAAATTAGATATTAAATTTTATAATATAAGAATTAAAACAATTCAAAAAAAAGGTGGCAAAATATATATAACCTCCATTTCCTAATCTACTTTAATATTAATCTATTGAATCTCTTGATTATCACGCATTTTCGTGAAAGAAACTTCACAATAATTTTACATAATAGGTTATTGATACATTATAATTTTTTTTATATTATCTTTCTAAAATTTAAATTTATAAGTAAAATATAATAATATAGTAAGATAAAAAAATAATGATTATAATTTTTTATTAAAAAATTAATTTGTAATTTTATAATTATTTTATTTTTATTTTAAATAAATATGATAAGATTAACGTGACTATATAACAATATTATTTTGAAATTATGATCTGATATAATATTATTTTCATAAATTATCTTGATAGATTAAAAAAAAAATGTGAACTATTTTGTCTCGACTGTGTGAGACTTATAAAGATAGAATATGTTAAAATCTTAAATAAATTCATAATTATTCACCGTTAGAAAGAATATTAAATTAAAGCATATATTATTAAAACTTGGCAACTTAAAATGATACTATAGTGGGCCGCAGGTGTTATTTCTCCCGGGCCTGGTCCGGTCCACTTGAAATCCCATCTCCCCTTCCGTCCAATCGAGTCGTTGCGTTACCCTTACCCTAAAACCCGAAAACTCTAGTCTCCTTCTGTTTGAAACGACGGTGAGAGCATTTCCCTCCCATTCCCTCTCTTCCACTCTCCACGCTTAACATCCTGCCATGGACGACAGCTTGTACGATGAGTTCGGCAACTACATCGGACCGGAAATGGAGTCCGACCAGGATTCCGACAGAGATTCCGACGCCGATGCTGACGACCACACCGACGCGCAGTCCGACGGCGGCGCCCCGTCGGACGGTGAGAATCCCAGCAACGGGTGGATGACGACGATCTCGGAGGACTTGGAGAACCAGGTGGTCCTGGCGGAGGACAAGAAGTACTACCCCACCGCGGAGGAGGTGTACGGAGACGACGTGGAAACCCTAGTCATGGACGAGGATGAACAGCCCCTGGAGCAACCTATCATTAAGCCCGTGAGGAACATTAAGTTCGAGGTGGGAGTGAAGGACTCCTCCACCTACGTCTCCTCTCAGTTCCTCCTCGGCCTCATGTCGAACCCGACGCTTGTGCGCAACGTGGCGCTGGTGGGGCACTTGCAGCACGGGAAGACCGTGTTCATGGACATGCTCGTGGAGCAGACGCATCACATGTCAACTTTCGATCCTCAGAGCGAGAAGCACACTCGGTATACGGACACTCGAATTGATGAGCAGGAGAGGAGGATTTCGATCAAGGCTGTTCCCATGTCGCTTGTGCTGGAAGATAGCAACTCCAAGTCGTATCTGTGTAACATCATGGACACGCCTGGCCATGTTAATTTCTCTGATGAAATGACCGCGGCTTTGAGACTTGCCGATGGCGCTGTATTGGTTGTGGATGCTGCCGAAGGAGTCATGGTATTGCTTATTATAGTACTTTATGTTTAGTCTTCTAGGCATTGAAATTGGAGTGATAATGTTAAGGAGTTAGGTCTAGCGGATAGGGTACACATTTTTTAACTAATGTTGGAATCTCCCCCGAGAGAAGTGGTTAGCTTTAGTGTTTGATTGTGATGTTGCGAAAGGGACTGCCTTTGAAGTAGGATACCTGTGAGAAACTTAAAAAAGTGGGTTGCTCTATAGTTAGTTTCTGTGGTATGTCCTGCCGTAATGGGGTGAACCACGATTTGAATCTGTTAGAAAGAGTGCTTTCATTTAGTGCCCAACCATTGTCTTGCATAGGATTTCCTTTGAAGGGGGGATTCATATGAAAAAATAAAAATTGTTGCGTTGTAGTTCATTGTTGTTGAATAGTTGCATATTGCAAAACATTGAGCTGTTAGTATCTTTTGGTTTGTAGGTAAACACTGAAAGGGCAATACGTCATGCAATTCAGGAGCGGTTGCCGATTGTAGTTGTAATTAATAAGGTAAACTATTTTTTGATTGATGTTAGGGGAGAGTTTAAGTTGTGGTCTTATTGTTTCATGTCTTGACTTTAGGTTGACAGGCTTATAACTGAACTTAAGTTGCCACCGAAGGATGCTTATCATAAACTAAGACATACTTTGGAGGTTATTAATACTCACATATCTGCCGCCTCCTCGATTGCTGGTGATGTTCAAGTTGTGGATCCGGTTGCTGGAAATGTTTGTTTTGCTAGTGCTACTGCTGGGTGGTCCTTCACGTTGCAATCATTTGCTAAGTTGTATGGGAAGCTGCATGGAATTCCTTTGGAAGCTAATAAATTTGCTGCTCGACTGTGGGGAGACTATTATTTTCATCCGGATACTAGAGCCTTCAAAAAGAAACCCCCTGCCAGTGGAGGGGAGCGATCTTTTGTAGAGTTTGTGTTGGAACCTCTTTACAAGATATATAGCCAAGTAATCGGGGAACATAAAAAGAGTGTAGAGACAACACTTGCTGAACTGGGAGTCACACTAAGTAATGCGGCCTACAGATTAAATGTCAGACCTTTGCTAAGGTTGGCATGTAGCTCAGTTTTTGGTCCAGCTTCAGGTTTCACTGATATGCTTGTTCAGCATATACCTTCCCCTAGGGATGCTGCAATTAAGAAAGTTGACCATATATATACTGGGCCCAAAGACTCGTCCATTTACAAAGCCATGGTACAGTGTGATGCTTATGGCCCCTTAATGGTTAATGTGACCAAATTGTATCCAAAATCTGATTGCAGTGTGTTTGATGCCTTTGGTAGAGTTTATAGTGGCAAGATACAGACAGGACAGACTGTACGGGTTCTGGGAGAAGGATACTCACCAGATGATGAGGAGGATATGACTGTTAAAGAAGTAACTAAGTTGTGGGTGTATCAAGCTCGAGATAGGATGCCAATAGCTGAGGCTCCTCCTGGTTCTTGGGTTCTAATTGAAGGTGTGGATGCTTCAATCATGAAAACTGCCACCCTTTGTAATGTGGATTATGATGAAGATGTGTATATATTCCGGCCTCTTCAGTTCAATACACTGTCAGTGGTAAAAACAGCTACCGAGCCGTTAAATCCAAGTGAGTTACCAAAAATGGTGGAGGGCCTCAGAAAAATAAGCAAAAGTTATCCCCTTGCAGTTACTAAAGTAGAGGAATCTGGTGAGCACACTATATTAGGAACTGGGGAGCTGTACCTGGATTCAATAATGAAGGACCTTAGAGAGCTCTATTCTGAAGTAGAAGTCAAGGTTATCTATTGTTTTTCCCTACTCAGTTATTGTGTCATTAACTTTTTGTTTTCCTTTTTATTAGGCATGGACTTTAATGTAAAACTTTTCTTCTAATTTGTTGTAGATTATCCTTTCATTTGCTTTTGTAGGTAGCAGATCCTGTTGTCTCATTTTGTGAAACTGTTGTTGAATCTTCATCAATGAAATGCTTTGCTGAAACACCAAACAAGAAGAATAAAATAACTATGGTAGGTATATGGTTTAGTTCTTGAATTGAATACTTTTTATCTCAGGCTGGTTTATTGTTCATGTTCATCACTGCTCATACTGACCTTGATTGTTGTTTAGATCACTGAGCCATTAGAAAGAGGCCTTGCAGAGGACATAGAGAATGGTGTTGTTAGCACTGACTGGAATAGAAAGAAACTAGGTGAATTTTTCCAGACAAAATATGACTGGGATCTTCTTGCTGCACGGTCAATATGGGCATTTGGCCCTGATAAGCAGGTAAATTCTCTCTATGAATCTATTTATCTGTCCGTTAGTCTCCATTAAATTCTGTAACATATGCAGGGCCCCAATATTCTGTTAGACGACACTCTTCCAACTGAAGTTGACAAAAATCTGCTGAATGCTGTGAAAGATTCCATTGTTCAGGGGTAACCATACTGGACATTGAACTATTTTCATTTGTGTAATTGATTATGCATTGATTATGACTTGAGTGGTTATATGTCATTTGATAGATTTCAGTGGGGTGCACGAGAAGGACCTCTGTGTGACGAGCCCATCAGAAATGTTAAATTCAAGATTGTTGATGCAAGGATTGCCCCTGAACCACTTCATCGGGGATCTGGCCAGATCATTCCCACGGCTCGGCGAGTGGCTTATTCAGCCTTCCTCATGGCTACTCCCCGGCTTATGGAACCTGTATATTACGTGGAGGTATATACTTACCATACTTTTAATGATTGTTGAGTATCAAATATAATTGTATTCATTTGTGGTTTTTGACATTTTGATTTATTGATGATCATGTAAGGATTACCTGCATACAAGCTAATAATGGACTAATCAAATATGTCTAATAGTGTAATTCCACTGAAGCTAATAATTATTTTATTTGCACTAATAATTCTATTCTTTTGGCCTTTTCATCAGATTCAAACACCAATAGATTGTGTATCTGCAATCTACACTGTATTATCTCGAAGGCGTGGACATGTTACTGCTGATGTTCCTCAGCCAGGCACGCCAGCCTATATAGTTAAGGTTGGTGGTCAACTTTTACCTATAAATTGGATGTTGTTTCTTTAGACTGTTATGGTATTGATGGTATTTTGAGTACATCAGAAATTTGGTCGGCTGACTTTATTCCCAATTTATCTCAGGCATTTTTGCCCGTGATAGAATCTTTTGGATTTGAGACAGACTTGAGATACCATACACAAGGTCAAGCGTTTTGCCTGTCAGTCTTTGATCATTGGGCTATTGTTCCTGGAGATCCTCTGGACAAAAACATTGTTTTGCGCCCACTTGAACCAGCACCTATCCAGCATCTTGCCCGTGAGTTTATGGTGAAGACAAGACGGAGAAAGGTATAGCCTTTTCCTCGTTCTACGCACTCACTAAATATTATAGATTTTTATGCCCTTTTTAATTATTATTTTTTCTTTAGAGGTCTTGTGATAATAACATTGCACAATTATGTTGAAGACTTTGACGCCCATGATTTTTTAGCCTTTTGTGAAATTACTAGCTAAAGCAAAGCAATACATGTTGCTCTTACATTAAATCTCGCAGGGAATGAGTGAGGATGTAAGCATAAATAAGTTCTTCGATGAGGCTATGATGGTGGAACTGGCTCAGCAGGCAGCAGACCTTCATCAACAAATGATATGATTCTGTCGATTTGATCTTCACTCTGGATTTTTCTTCAGAAATTTAATTTGGGCCTTTAAGCAGTTCCGCTTATGTGATGCAAGCAAAATTGAAAGTGCTTTGCATTGCGAGTTATCAGGATTTGGCTCAGCTATTCTCACATACTGCTGCAAGCTCCGATGCCATAGAAATAGCAGTCTACTACCTTCTCTCTTCAGCGTGAAAAGCTACTTATTTGGGACGGGGCAGCTTTTTGTATGTAAAATTGTGTATTGATGGTATCATTGATCATGTAATAGTACCTACATATTTTCTTTTCTTCCGTAGAACGTAATTGTACGAGCGGTTGTATTTTTAACACCTTCATACTAAATATAGGTTCACCAAAATCCTATTTGCAACTTAGCTACTGGTGTAGTTATGGCACAAAACCAGATAATGCAGAGAAAAGATTATAATACCTTCTTGGCCATCGATTTATATATGGGTGATAGTTGTCTAAAACGACTTGTATGATGGAGATTTGCTGAAAAGCGTTTATTGATGTCTATACATATTTGAAAACATATTTGAAAAACAGAAAATGATGGAAAATAACTCACCCACCTAAATACGGTTTTTTGTTGCGAGTCAATTGAACACTTTTTTATGTTGTACTGTTCTTGACGTAGCCTGTTGCAGTAGCTCTTGATGGAAAATAACTCACCCACCTAAATACGGTTTTTTTCACATGATAGACAGCTCCTTGCGTCATTAAATGTTGACACTATTGCTTTCTATGTTATCTTCATGTCGTGTTTGGCCGAAAAGTATTTCTTCTAAATAGTGCGCTTTGTGACGAGGCTGTTGAGTGTTTTTTCTTTGATTACAGTGGAAATCATGAGACAAACCTAGTTTCTACTTATAATTACATTAGAGAATTTAGGAGAATTTCCATGATCAGAATAAAGCAATTTGAGTAGTTTTTTAATGCCTTTCATGTTACTGTTTTTTGTTGGTCGTAATATGGTACTCATTAGAATTATAAGGAATGTCGCTCTTCAATAGGGCCTAGAAGTTTCCAGGTGTATTATTTTATGTTTATCTGTTTTCATGAAATAAATCCATATCTACAGATGCTTCTGATGCTTACAAGTAAAGTGCCGTTGTGTTTCGAGAAGGTCATCTACAAGGGTTCATAACTCCATACGGCAGACATTTCTTCCTACTTCCTAAAAACATTGAGACTCTCTTTCATTTTGTTTCGGGATCAAAGAAGGTTTGTCTTGATTTTGATTTGCTACAGGAAGTTGAGACTCTAGTGGTCTGCAAGAAACCATTTCACATCCAAAGGGTGACTGTGTCTGAAATTTTGCTCTCCCAATTTATACAGCATGTTCATCTGTATAATGTAGGTGGCCTAAATGGTAAATTGATAATTTACTCAATAAGGGTGTCATCTTTTATAATTGTGAGTAAAAAATGATACGTTAATCGGAATAAGTTCAGAGCTGGCATTCATTTCCTTTGCAGCACAACTCATAGGAGTAATCAGTAGGAGCTTACAACTAATGTAACATTTGGGCAAGCATATTCATGAAAAATTTGTATTAAAACGCACTTTAAACGGTGGTTGTTAGATTTAGACGCGTGCGTTTCTTTTACATTTTTCCGGTTTAGATATGTATTTCTCATTTTTAGTACCTTTGATACTCCATTAATAAATCATTTCGAGGTGTTTGACCGTAAAACAAAGAAAGGAAAAGGTATGATATGCATAATGCTATGATGTTGTGTGCATGAATTACATTTCACAAGGTATACATGATTCAAGTTTCTCACTTTACCATTAACAATGGGAAAAATAATTATAAGATGGTATAAATTTTATTAGAATTTGCATCTTGGTGTGTTCCTTACTGTATCCCCAGAGGGGCCAGGGGGAACAAGAGGAAGCAGAAAGGCATTTTAAGTGTGCTGGATGAATTTATGTACATAATCTCAGCTCAAAAAAATAATTTGCCTTGCAGACATGAATGTTCTATCCTTGTAGCAAGCATTTAAGATTTTGAAGCCCCTCAGCAGATATGCTTCTTCTGACTCTAGGCCTTTCTACAACTACAGGAGGTGGTGGTTCTGACTGAAAACATACCACCACCACTGTCAAGTTGTCCGTTGCTTCTCTCTTTATTGCTTCTCCTATTATCTCCTTGCAACACTGCTTCACATCATTGTGTTCTTGAAGCCTCCTTCGAGCAAAGTCCACTGCGTTCTGGCTGCGAAAAACATCCCAGATTCCATCGCTGCCAATGATCAAGAATTCATCTTCTTTGGTCAATGTCATCAATTTAAGTTCAGGCTCAGCACTCAATGGTCCATCCTTTCCATTCTTTTCCTTCATTCCTTCAATATGCCAGTCGCCTAGAGCACGAGTCACACCTAACTGCCCATTCAGATAACCATCATCTATGTATCCACCTGCAGACTCAACCCTCATCCTTTCTTTAATGCACAACGGCCTGTGATCTTTGGACATTTCTATTGCCCGTCCACCACGTGATAACACGGCACGGCAGTCTCCAGCATTGGCTACCAGTAACGACCTATATAATACAATCACACTCGTTTAGAACATAGAAATAACTTCATCAAATATCCACTCAACATATATCAGCTAATTGCTATGATTCGATATTTATGCACTTGCATTGGGCACTAAATTTGACTTCAAAATCAGTGTGCTACTTCGCCACGGTGAGCTGTGAAAATTAGACTGTGGTTTTCAAGCCAAAGAACAGCAGAGACGAATGCTTTCTTACCTTCCAAATATAATTGCAGTCAGCGCAGTTGTGCCAGAAGACAACGAAGACTCAATTGAACATGATCTCGCAAACTCTGCATCAGTCTCCAAAAAGGACCTTGTGACAACCTTCTCAAGTTCCAAAGGAAAGTCAGCATCCTCAACAATCACCCGTGGCAGGTGATCACGGACGAATTGTGCAGCACTCTTCCCTCCGTGTCCGTCAAATACCTGAACAGAATTCATTTTTTTACATGTCAAATCCTGATTAATAGGGCGCATATTCACCTATTCAAAACGAATAACAGATTTTTAGTCTTCTTTTCCTCTGAGGTGAATATTCCTAGCTTATATGATTTGCTCTACTCACAAGTTTTCCGTCAGACTTCAGAATGGCTATACAACTACAACTTCTTAAGGGGACGACGAGGGGGACAATGATGAAGAGTCCTTGATCTCACCTTTCAGAAAGTTCAAACAAAGAAACGTTTTCTCAACACTGACTTGTGAACCAGATTGAAGTATTTAATGGTAAATATTACCACCATTGATAAGTAGACAATGTAATCTAAAATCCGTATCTTTGACTCATAACATATTCTAACATTATGGTCTTTGTCTAGTTCCATACAAATGCAATTGTAAGTCAATTTGCTTGCTACCTTTTTGGGAGAGGAAGCTTTAATGGCTTGATTTAACATTGTGCAACGGGACCACTTCTACTGATGAAAAAACATATCTAACTATGACATACTTTCTCATTGGACAATGTGAACATAACAAGATACTTGACCTTTCTTTTAAGTTTTCCATCACCCCATGGAATGCATTCTTCCTTCATGCTGGTGCCTATTTAAGGGTGAACTATGCATGCTCATTATTTTTTTTTTGTCTGTATATCATTACAAATATAATGACTGAAGATGGTATATAATGAAATTTATAACAACAGCCAAAAAGCATAATTGGTTAGATAGCTTACACCATAAAAGGAAATAGCTTCCTCACAGAGTACATTATTGCCAAATTTTTGGGCCAAGTCTCCAATGCTTATGTGGGTATCCTCCATGGAAGGGCGCTCTCCAATATCACACCACTCTCCAGACCGAAGAGTAGGAACAAAGTTCATCAGGTTTTGTTTTTTGTCCCCAATTTCTGTATCCTCACATATGCTTTCGAGCTAAAAAGTACCACAGCAGAGACATGAAAATAGGCTAAGAGGATAGGAGCTTTGTGCAGTGAAATAAAGTTAAAAAATAGTAGATGCTATCAAACTCAAGGGAGACATGAAAGGTAAGAAACAGATGAGTATTCTCAAGAAGTACAAAAACACATGTAATTCTTAAATTATATTCTGGTCAATTTCAGCAGTTTGTCACTGCCAAAGCTACAAAGCCACAAACAATTATGAACCAACAAATTGTGCTAACAAATAGAATCGTATGAAAATTCACACGCAAGCAGACAAGCCGATTCAATTGACGGCACAATCAATTTCCACATTGATGTGACCAAGTACCCAAAGTTAATCACCATCCCCGGAGACTCAATAATTTCAAGACACCCAAATCTATCATCAGCCACTCTTTGATAATCACATATGAGAGAATTTCAAGATCGTGTAGACACAACCCAAAATCTAATTTAGGAAAGGACAACTATAGAAGAATCCATGACTTCCCCTAAGGTTAAAAAAAAAAAAAACAGTGAACAAGATTCATGAATAATAACAATCAAGTACTACAGAAGTCTCCGAAGTATAATTGAAGGAGTGGGTACAATTAAAACTACAGTTTAGTACAGGAAAAAATAAACATTAAAAAAAGACCTCCCATAAAGGAACAGAAGAAAGAGAAGATAAGGGAAGTCAATACTTACAGGAAATGAATTTGCAACACTGATCTGGTCAGTGGGACATCTAAAGGAAGAGTCTTTTTCCCTGTTATCCATGTGGGCATGCAAGAGATCACAATGCAAAGGCCATGACACCCTTCTGTTATCAACAACGTTCTTCTCTATATCCTCACCAACTTGTTCACCCTCTTGCACACACATGGTGTCAACACAGCAGTTGTGGCCAAGTGGCAAGTTCAACTCAGCAACTGGCACTAGCAGGCATAGAAATTATGAAGTAAGAGTCACACAGACACAATTCCACATATCAAGAAGAGAACACTTGATGGCATTTTGTTGCTTACACAACAAAGAGAGAGAAGATTCTTGGAATATGTTGGGACAATGATGGCGTTGTGTGTTTATATATATTTGTGTCAGTGGAAAGCAGTGTGAAAGGAGAGTAGGGGGGAGCCGTTAAGCACCAGATTTTTCTATGAAAGCGTGGTCCAAAATTGTTGGTTGAGTTTATTAGGTTGATTCTTTATATTATAATGTTTTGTCACAAAAAAAAAAAGCTTCGATGATGTCTTTTTCTATGCTTACCTATCATCTTGTCATCCCACCTAGTTTTCTTTTTGATATTTATTTCCCTCTCTTTTCTCTCTTTATTACAACACTCCCATGATAATATCCCATGTCAAAAATCTTCTGCGATATTTCTTCTACCCCATTTTCTTGTTTTTTCTCTTCTCCCTACTTGATTCTGTTCATTTCGTGCCTTTTATTTCATCATCGGAAGTTGTAGTGCATAGTTTTATTCGGGGTTCAAACTTTGCTACGGATAATTTCCATGAAAATAAGGGAAACTGGTTTAGGAAGTTGAAATACATCATTAAATAAAATTGACTACGTCAAATTCACCGTAGATATCTTCTCTGATTAATTTCTCTGCTATCTTTTATCATCTTTGTGTCCTTTTAAAGTTGTTACATTGTTTATTATCTGCAAATCAAAATATATAATATAAATGTATCATAAAAAAGTAAACAAAAAGGTATTAATAATATGAGAAAAAAAAGAATTTATTTAAATATTTAGAAGAATAAAGAGTAAGTATTGTTTAATGTAAAAAAAGTGTTTTTCATATCTTTTAATATAAATATTGAAAAGAGTAAAGTTACCTCATTCTTTTTAAGAAACTGAATGGATAAACACATGAAAAGTTATTAGAATTAATAATTAACTAATTAGATAATTAAATAAGAAAACTAAATAGTCAGAATATAAATATACCTTTTTTTTCTTAAAATATTAATTTTTTTAGACTCCTCAAACTAATGGTCGTAGACCTATCAATATTCCAAAAAGAATTTTGTGACATGGTCATGTTCCACTTTATGAAATTTATTTATTAATTAATTTTGTAAAATATATTAATTTATTTATCATATAATAGATGAAATTGAATTAAATTTTTTATTCCTTTGGATATTATTAATTATGATGAGTAGAATATTTTGATGCCAGCTAGAAATGTCCTTAGTCCTTGTTTGGTAGTAAACATTCAGCTTCTGCCAACCCTATTTTTTGGGAATAATTAAAGTCTTGTTTGCTATGTAAAGTCTAAAAATGTAACAAAAAAACTTATTATTTGGAAAGGACACTTTCCATTCCTTTTAGTTACTTCGGAAAATTGTCAAGGAAATTTATCTTAACATTTTATAAATAATTAACAATTTGATTACTTCAAAAGCAATATAATTAGTTAATTATTAATCACTATGATCCTAGACTAGACTTTGGAAAAAAAATATTCATACTTACTTGGTAGAATAATTAATCGACGTGTCTTATTTCATTCCATATGAGAAAATGAGACTTTTGGCATCACTTTCCAAGTTTTACTTTTTATTCACTTTTGAATTTACTATATTAAATCCTAAACAAGTTATGTTTTAATTTTTAAAAGTAATTTTTTTAGTTTATATTTTTTTTTCAAAGTCAATGCCATGTATTTTTTTACAAGCATTTAATTAAAATAATCAGTCGTAATTATTTTAATTAAACCCATATAAATATATCTCAAATGGATGGAAAAGTCAAATAATTTAATATCATAAAAATCACTATTTTTTTTTAAATGAAGAAGAAAAGAAAATTCTTGTCATAAAGCCTCAAAAGTTAGGTAGATGGGTTTGGGCTTTTAGGGGTCACATTCAAAGGTAGGAAGCAAACAAGGTCTCCATCCACTTCTCTTTCTTCAATTGGCCATTTATAATCAAATTCAAAACCAAACTTTTTCAATACTTTCCAATACCATCTTTCTCTGCTTCCTAAACTAAACTACTTTAACATTATAGATAATGATTTAAATATTTTAATATATAAGTTTTAGGTCCACGTAACATAACACAGATTTATTTCTATTTTTTTCTTCTAATTAGATACATAATAAGTTATAAGGTTTTGGATTAAGTATATGAAAAAATGTTTTTTATATTTTGTTTTTATTATTATTATTTTGAATTTTTTAATTGATCTTTGAAATATTTTAAATTTATCTTTTCAATTCTTCAACTTATTTTTTAGCATAACAATTATGTTCTTGTCAATAACTAAAAAAAATGTATATTATTTTTCAACACTACAACTCGTTTAATGTGTGTTTTATTTTAATGGATAAGTAAATAGTAGAACTAATGCATGCATGTTAAAAAAAAAACACTTGAATCAAAATATTTAATTTATTAAGTATATATAATTTAAAAAATAAATATTAAAATCAAAATCAGTCATATATCAAAGAAACTTATTGAAACATTATATTATATATTGATTAAAGAAGAGGAGATAAACAAGGAATGAAATTTAAAAAATAACATTTTTTGTAATTTTTATCAAATCGAAGAAGGTCTTAAAATCTGCATCTTAAAACTTTTTAAAATATCAAAACTTTGAAAGTGATGGATACTCACACCGTATAAGAAAAAAAAGTCATGTTATGTAGAAATACGAATGCAAGTTTATGATACAAAGAATATGGAAAAATAGGAATATATTACTAATTTTGAAGAATATGTGTATAAAAAATTATTGGAAATACGTAAAATAGTAAGTTAAAAGACAAAGTTGACTATGGCATGGAGTTTACTTTACTTTATAATAATTACCAATAATGAGCAAAAAAGAATTGAAAGAAAAAATAATCAAAGATTTAAGAAGTTTATTGGTTAGTTCCAATAAAGAACTTATCAATGGAAAGATGATAGATAATTAATCACATTTCTTTGGAGTTTGTAGGAGGAATAAGTACAAGTTGTGCTTCTGCAAAATAAGGCAGCACAATTAACCTTTAAATGTAGGTCTATGATTTTGTAGGCTTGGGTGCTTTATGGCACCCAAATTCTCGTAAATGTCTTGGTTGAATTAATCATAAGTTAGCATAAGAGAAAGGCATCGAATTGAAATGACTTTTTTAAAATCTGAGAATGAACTTTTTAAAATTTAGTGGGTATCACCATGGATTCCAACAAGGTCATGCATGTAAGTCTTTATGGTCAAGTCAAGCATACCAAAAGGAGGGAACCCTTTTGCACTACAAAGTTGGCATGGCACTACCTATGCATCAGAATCTTTCTCATGCCTTTGATGGGAAAACCAGAAGATGTTGGACTAAGACGTGGGACAATGGTGTTCATTGAAGTTTTGTGTCCATCGCATTAGGTTTCAGTGGAAGGGTTAAAAAGTTTCATGATGTGAGATATATTTTCACAATGGCCAACACCATGAGGACAAAAAATAAGAAAAATGAAGTCAACACCAAAGAGATAAAAAAATATATTTATATATTCTAAAAGTAAAGAGTAACTAACAATTGAGGATTGATATATGATTTTTTTTTTATCAATTATAGATAAATACTCTAACTTGAAAAGAATTTGAGGAACACTGTGACCCAACAAACAATAATCAATTTGGTAACTTGTTGAAGAAAAAGTTGAATGTCTTATTTAGGGGTGTGAAAGTATAAATTGGAGGAACTACGTGACAATGATGGTAGGGACAAGAACAGTTCTTAGAAGGTAGGGTAGACTCATGGCAGTTTCATTATTGATGGAGTGCAGGTCCAAGCTGCTATGAGCACCATGCACCGACACAGTGATTTCTTGTCTCAGACAGTGGCCATATCAAGCACCACAACTTAATTTGGTCCAGTTTCTGCCATCTCAATAATGCTTTTCATAGTGTTTCAGATGGATCACGCATGCAACCATTGAGCCTCAAGTCAAAACATTTTCATTCATGCATATCCCAAAAGCTACCTATACAATCTACTCATTGTGATAGGAAAGAGTAAATTTCAATAAATAAAAACTCTTGATCGAATATAAAATCAATTTAAATAAGTTTTAAATGAAATTGATTTTTTTTTTCATGTTACTTATACTCCCACAGATAATACCAATTGCCTCTCTATAAAAAAATAATAATAATTTGAATTATTGATACCCAACAAGTACTTTAACTATTCTCCCACGAAAAAAAGAATAAATATTTAAATTAGTTTGTATAGATATTCACTCAATCTATAAATATTTAATTACCAAGTATTTTTTTTATAATAAACTAATTAGATTTTAAAATAATTATTACATATGTAATCAATATTATTAAATAATTAAAAATTATACTTTCAGTTCTAATATTACTAATTTCAAATTATAAATATGTGTATCTTCGCTCACTTGATGAAATGACCAAGATATTCCTATTAATATCATAAAAAAGTTTAACATATAAATTTATAAAATGCTTATAGAAAATATAAAATGTATTTGGATGACATGATCTATTATTTACTTTTTTTCTTTCATTTTTTTATTAATATTTTATTACATGGTTTAAATTATTTTTGTATTTTTTTTATTCTAAAATTATTAAACATGTTATAATAAAATAATCATTTAATAAAAAATATATTATAAAAACATTATACATAGTTAATTATAATATTCATAATTTTAATATGTACTTATATGATTAGAGATTCAAATTTAAGATTATATTATATGTCATAGTACTATTTTAATTTTGTGAATATGTATTATAATTTTTATTTATCAAATTGAAAGCTAAGATGAATCTATTGATTTAAAAAAAAAAGTCCAATTTTTATTATTATTATTTTATTAATTTTAAGTTTTATTTTTGGATTGGTACAGTAATTAGAGACAAGCTAAACCCTAAACGGATCATAATTACAGGAGCTTCACTTCTTATACGATGTTCTTTTATTATATAAATAATTTTTCCTGTGATGTTGTCCAACTTAGAGCTCTCAACATAGATTATATAAAATTGGATTAAAATGTACGTATTCAGCTAAATAGGCTCAGTCCATTTTTTAAAATTATAATTTAAAATAATTAAAAAATTTATAATTTAAAATATGTATAGAACCAATGCATTTTGACACCATGATCAGGACTAAAGTTAAAAAAAAATCTGAATCCATAGGAGTGTTGAACTCTAACGATCCATTTTGACCCAGACTCAAACAACCCAATGTGACAAGTTTGATCCTCCAACAAGCATTCCTCATTCATTTTTCTCAGTCGTGGCAGTGGATCTCTTCAATTTTTTCATCATCTAAATTCTTACAATTAAATACCAATCACCAAAATGACATGAAAAGACCTACGGATTTTTTGAAACAACATACAAACTTTAAGAAAATTTGTTCGAGCTCATTTGAGTCAACAGAATAATTTGGAATAGGGCGTATAATGAATTAAAAATGGCTACATATTTAGGATATACTTCTACTCGAGTCCAAACATATATTCAATTGTTCGTAGAGCCAGCATTCACATCATAATTGCCCCGAAAAGTGAATTGAATAGGCTTAAGAAGTATTGGCTTTGAGAATTTAGAGATAAAAAATAACATCCACACATTGGTACTAAAGAAAAACGCATTCTAATGTAAATATTTGGTTTCCAAGACTAAATATATAATCCGTTTATGTGAATATTCACGGGCAAATTTACTAAATCCTTTTAAGGAGTTAATAACTGATATTCAAACTTTAGTTTCCAATGACAAATACATTTGTTTCCGGCCAAAAATCCGATCCCGATTCAAAAAGATCCCAACAACTTTAAACCCAAGTGGACACCAAATAAATATGCTGGAGAACAGGTGAAGAGTACATTGTTTCAAAAATAAAAAATAAAAAAGCTATTAATAGTATTCGAAAACCACAGCATATAAAACATCCTAAACATAATCCCGGAATTAAATCTCAGACAAGTAAAACTTTAAATCAAAGCTCACATTCCAGAAAATGCCTTCTTTGCACCACTAGAAGATCCGGCAGGGATCACTTTCAATACATTGAACCTCACTGTCTTAGAGAGAGGCCTGCAGAAGTGGCAGAAATAAGCATCAGACAAATATCTATACACCAATAAAATACATACGATCTTTAAAGTTAATACCCAAAAAGGGTTACTTTAATAAAATCTCACCTGCATTGACCAATAATGACGTGATCTCCTTCCTTCACACGGAAACAAGGTGATATGTGGGCAGCAATATTTGAGTGTCTCTTCTCGTACCTTCGACAAAAAAAAAATTATAGTTTTGTTTCTCCAAGCAAAAAAATTGAAAAAAAAATGACAAAAAGTATGACATTATAATACCTCTGATACTTCTTAATAAAATGGAGATAATTCCTCCTAACAATAATAGTCCTGTTCATCTTAGCACTATGACATGTTCCAGCTAGAATACGACCCCGGATGGAGACATTGCCAGTGAAAGGGCATTTCTTATCAATGTAGGTTCCTGTATTTAGATTAAATCATATCAAAGGTGTCAGAAGTATAAATGAACTACTTACACAAGAAAAATATTGACATGATGACATGAGTAATGCCAAGAGTTATCAATCAGCCTCTTACTAAAATTTGGATTTTCAAATACAAAGACAAATGCATATTATTTTGCTTATTAGATAAGCACTATATCCAAACAATGTTTGCTAGATAACAACTATATCCAAACAATGCTTGCACTCTACAACACAAGAATACCTAAATCTTTAAGAGAGAAAACATGACTATAATAAGCATAAACACTATCATACACACGAAATAACATCAATAAATAGTCACACTAACCAAAGGCTTGTTCATATAGGAAGGTGAATTTTAACTTCTATAATTATAAGAAAAAAAAAAATACACGGCCAAATATAGATTCACATCTCACCAAAAAAAAAAAAATATGCAAGAGTAGGAGAGGTGAACGAGAGAGATACCTTCGATTGCTTCCCTAGGAGTCTTAAATCCAAGACCAATGGATTTCCAAAAGCGGTTTCCACCTTTACCAGGTCTCTTCCCCTTACCAGTTTTCTTCGAGCTGCGAAAACGAGCAAAAACATAAAATAAAAGAAATTCAGCATCAAAATCACGACGTAAAAAAACAAAGTTAAACGCTCATTCAAGTATTTGGATACCTGAGAAACACTTTTGGTTGCTTCAGAAAAGCCTTCTCGGTCTGCAATACACAATTAAAAACAAAATCAACGGAAGATCCACACAAGGCGTAAGAACAACTCATAAAACGAAATGAAGAATAATCGTACTTGTTCGGCCATGGTGAAGAGAGTTGTCCGCAAAGGTCTCAGGATAGTGTTGGAGTCAGCCGCACAAAAACCCTAATCTCTTCTCCCACACAGAGTCGGATGAAAACGCTGCGTTTGTTTATATTTCTTTTCTGGGCTTTTCAAAGTGGGCTGTGAATTCGGTTGAGATTATTTTTGGACAAAGTAATTAATTTTATTTAAAATACTTTCTAAAAGGTTGATGAAATAAATTTATTTCGATTTAAATTTTAAAACCATCGTGGAGTTTGTCTTTATAAGAAATGAAGAACACCTCAAATAGTTTTTATCAAAACTTGAAAAATATACAATTAGCATTTTCTATTTCTATTATAACTTAATAATGAATTAGATTTTGCTATGAGACGCAACAATACTTGTTAAAACCATGCTATTGTTATAAAATAAAATCTTTGTGAAATTTTCAAATAATTTTAAAATAAATTAAAAATAATTTTACACTATCAACCAATTAAAAAAATATAATTAATATGAATTTTAAGATGATTATTATAAAACCAACAAATTTATCATATTGGACAAATTATGATTGAATAAATATAAAACCATACCTATCAATTCATAACTTATTTTATCTAAATACAAATCATTAAAACTCAATTTGACCGATGGTAAAATTAAAAAAAAGAAAAAGATACAAATGAATTTTTTAAGTGCCTATTCATATGCTCCATTAACGTGAAAAATTAAAAATAATGAATATAATCATTCTAACTTGTTTAATTAAAAGTACAAATTTATACAACGTTTTATAATATTACTAATTTTTAATATTGAGTTATATGAAGATTTTTTGTTTGTTTGATTTAGTATTTTAGAGATTAATTTTGAAAATAAGTTGAAAATAAAGTTGTTTATAATTGTATTTTTGAAATGAAAAAAATAATATAAATAGTTATAAAAAGATAGCAACAAAAGCTTAAAAATGATTTTGAGGATGAAAACTAAATGATTTAACTTAATTATCAGTAAAAAATGTTAATACTCGTTAACATGAAAACATAAAACTAAAATAATATATATTTTATCAGTTATTTATTTTTTATTTTTTTAAAATTAGAAAAAAATAAAACTGTTTCAACAAATAATTACTAAATAAATTTTTCAGTTTTTAAAAAACATTAAATAAACAAATCCTTTACATTCATAAATTAAAATTGAATATATATATATATATATATATATATATAGATTAAATTAAAAATAAATCACTAGTAAAAAAAAAATAATCTAACTCAATACTAAACTAATAAGTCAAGTGAATTAACAAAAATTAAAACATGGATAATGTTTAAAGAAACAACAATAAATATATAGAGATAAATTACTCCCAAAATGTTATTTTAATTTCTATAATGTGATTAGTGACGCAACTCAAACCGATTAACTTATAAATTAAATAAATAAAATTTATTTTGATTGAGAATTGGTAAATATTTTATATTTCAAACCAATTCACATATCTAGGCCTAATTCAATTAAACTTGTTATAATTTTTTTTATGACTTTAATAAACTTAAACAATATCAATTATATGCTTATCAATCTGCTTTATAAAATAATTATTTTTAAAATAAAATCAATACAATATTATTATTATATATATTAATAAAAAATTAATTTAAAAGCTTCACTTAATCTAAGAATAAAAATTAAAAATTATACTTTATTTTTACTATTTTTTAACTTACTAAATTACAAAAAAAATCCAAATAATAATAAATAAGAATGAGTCTATGCCTTCTACCCTTTTAGTGTATAAATTCTAATAATTTATACATCATATCAATAAATTAGAAATAAAATTTAATTTTATTATTACAATTTAAACACATTATATTTCTAGAATTTTAAAATTATCAGCTGATGCTGAACATAAAATCATAATAAAAAATATCATAACTTAATTTAAAAAAAAAAACAGGACCATCAATTTTTCTCACCGTAAAGACAGGTATAACCTAGTCAATCCATTTTAACATCCCTATTATAACAGCTACAATTATTACAGAAAGTATTGCTTGCAGAAATTGTGAAAATCGTTTCGTTACAATAAATACAAATAAATACAAATTAGACACAATTAAGTTCAGAAGCTGATTCCCAATCCCTCAACATGTTCAACGCAGGATTGTAGAAGGAAAAATTATCATGAATTTAACTTCTATGTATTGAACTATCTCTAGCAAGTAACAAAGTATACAAGTAATTTTACAAATATTGAATATCCTTCAAATTAATCCCTATTGATTATTTATGCTAATGAAATTTAAAGCTTAATAAATAAAAAAATAACATAACATTATTTATAGTCATTTTATTTTGTTACTTTGTAAGGGACCAGATAAGAGGAGAAAAGAATCATTAGAACTATAAAAAGGGATGGCTTATTAAATAAAAATCCTATTTTCAGCCAACGGGTCTTGCAAGGTTAAAACATACAGACAATAGCAACTATTAGAAAGGGTAATGAGAATGGGGATGATATATACCTGCATCTCAATTATTGCTTTCTTGAAATAAAAATTCTTCCTAAAAATTGAGCAATGTATGTTTCAGTTCTTCAATAAAGACCTCACGGACGCCAAATTTAATTTATAAGATGACTAATCTCAATTCTAATGTGAATTCTATTACCAATTCCAAGCATAATAAACCGAACTTAATGGAAGCTCAATTCCAATGCCAATAATCTACAAGTTGTCACATTCCGAGAGCAGTCTTCTTTAGGTTTGTCTACAGCATGAGAAAATGAAATCACGCTTCATATAGAAAACTAGGTAAGCACATAATAATACCATATTGACATCATGAGTTTCACCCCGAATTCTGTTTCTTGTGATCACAATCTTTCCTCGACCGCAAACTGAACATTATCCTCTGCATCACTCCATCTGCATTAAGAAACCATGACATCATTAAAAATTGGAGGTGTATTTGAATTTGTAACGAAAAACAATTCAAAGCATGCATTAGGATTGTTTTGCAAAATGCTATTAGATACTTAACGCCCATGTTTTTATTTAACGCTCATATACCTTACAATGTGGTCAAATCAAAATATAAGCCTAATAATTTAATATGTATTAACCAGATAAAAGCTGTCGACAAGATTTCGTTCTCAAATTAATCCAGAGACCATAATTGATTGTATATAAGATTCACTGTAGCTTATACTTCACACTATCACACTTTAAAACTTGTAAAGATTCACTAGGAGAAGAAGATCTGCAATGATGTCATTCTGCACAGATAAACACTATCTATTCGGCTGTTCAGATAAAGCATCTTCAAATGGCTTATTCGAATTCATCTAATCATCAGGTTGAGCCTGACAACCCAATCGATTACTTTTTCCTCCCCTATAAAGAGTACTGGGAATATGATCTAACAGGATCCCACTTGGACAGAGAATAGCGGGCACATGGTCATGGGAGCAGAGAATCCCTAGGACAACCTTAGAAAAAAAGAGAATCAAATATCAGGTATGCACTCACTCCCCCTATTATACAAACTATTATGCTGAAGCTCTCACTCACTTGAGGGTCAGGATGCCTTTGTATTTTGTAAATATTCACCCCCCCCCCCCCCTCTTCCTGAGTTTGGGAGCAAGGAGAATGGAACTGAATGAAAGATTATCAAATCAAATCCTATGAGCTTAGTCTCTGTGGTTTAGAAAATCTTTGGGACTAGCAAGAGTGATATTTATTGAGATAAAAGGTTGTCGCAGAATCACACCTACGATGATCTAGGCATGTGCAAAGAAGACCAATAAAAATATAGATTAGAAGAGCTCGTGAAATGAATGATAGCCCAATAACTAGAGGCAGGGGTAGACCGAACAGTACAGACTCTTGAATTGAAACCATTAAAAACTATATACAATTAAATGGACTCTAAAAAGAATTGTTTACAACAGAAACAAACTGGTATCTTTAGTTCATGTCATGGACACCGTGAATAGGGCTTTGGTGGTATTATTAAAAGTTATTCTAGTCAGATGCAATCCATCCTAGAATTGGGTTGCTATCCTAGCTGGGCTTTAAATAAAGTGTACTCAACAACAGTTTACAAACTCAAAAGTGGAAGAGAAACCTTTTGACGTTTTGGACTTGGGGGACTTGAATCAGAATCGCTCGGTCTGCGTGATGTCCCAACGTCAGTTTCAACCTGCATGCACATAGACTGATTAGTTTTTTTTTCTTTTTTTTGATGGAGATATAATACTTAATTTTCACAGCTCGACATTCTCTGGTGAACAAGGCAAAAAGACAGAAGAATAAGAAAATTCTCCTGCATAATCTTGCCTGAATAATATTTTGATATAATATATCTGTTCAACAACCTCGGATAAGGTGAGACCCAGAGGGGTTTGATAAAGGATACAAAAATTGGTATCTTTCAAATATGATATTCCCCAAGTGTGTGCAAAGTCAAGAAGCACTCACAATGGGTTGGAGAGCTTTGGCACTTGTAGACATACGAGCAAATGTAATCACGCAAATATAAAATAGAATAATGAAAGCAAACAATTAAGTATGCAGACCTGGGTTGAAGAATCTTGAGCCATATGATCTTCTGAAGGATTTCCCTCAGACCCTACTTGTTGAGATATGACTGGCATGATTTCACGGAGCATATTAGAAAAAAATATTCCTTCTTCACTGACACTAGGTTGTGCTTCAGGGACTTGGGCAGCAGCCCTTGATGTTGCAGCATGATCTGAGGTAGAACCCGCAGTTGTTCCTTGTACACCTGAATCTTCCACATGAATTTCTCCACCAGGAAAGAGTGTCCTTAAGATCTGAAGAACACTGCTTGGAATTTGTCTGTCAGATTCTTGGTTGTTTTGGGGTCCACTAGCAGCCAGAATATTGATATTTACAACACGTGAATTAGATGGCTCTTGTCTTGTGTTTGGAGTTGATAAGGATCCTACTACAACAGATTTCAATACCAAATTAAATAAAATCAAATTTGTCTCTCAGATCCTTATGGTATATGTCAGATAATTTTAGAATCGGCAAAATAAGTAACCATGAGCTTCATGAGCAGTGTTGTTGACTGCTCACGAACTTTGATGAATTTGTGTGAGCAACCTATGGAGTGATTACAAAGATGGCTTACATAAGCAACCTACAAGTGCTACAGGGATGGATGCATGAGGTTACAAAAAAAAAAACTGGACAGAACTAACAATATACTTCCTCGCCAAAATGAATCAAACCAATTGAATTCAATAAAATGTTTCGAAGCCATGATTAATGAATCATTCAATCATAATAATTATCTAGAAGATATCTTTAATCCATAGCTATCAAGAAGAACATCAAATCCAGAATAAGGAAACTGTAAACAGATAATGAGTTGAACCCACTGAATTACTGAAAAACATCACTAACGGTTATCTAGCTTATGGAAATGAATGGCACGTTGTTGTCAAGTATCTGGGAAAGAATAAATTAAGTATAATTAATTTATACTTAATTAATGTATATCATAATGCTAATGCTAATGAGCATATTATGGTCTTTAAACTTTTTAGAAAATATACTGTATTCCAGTTTTTCTTATTACTATTTTACCTATATTATTTCTTTCGAACTTGCTCTGTTAACAATAAATTAAGTATAATTAATTGATGAAATACTTTTCGATGTATAACCATTGCACAACTCATAAATGTTTAATACAGGGAATAATTCAACATCAGATTGCATACCACTACATCTTCAATCAAAATTAATACACCAATTATTTTAAGAAATTTAAAATGATATTTTTGGATCACATATTATGCATATCAACAAGAAAAAAAAATTATCAAACTAAAACCTTCTTGTAACAGGAAGCAATCGTTGGTTTCAGATGTTGAAAGACATTTGTTAAATTACCATTCCTTGCAGAATCATCTGTATTTTGCCTTTGCAACATGGATTCAGTGGTTGATGGCACTGCCGCCTGATGCTGAGTTGATTGTTGAGATCCCTGTTCACTATTTGCATGTCCAGAAGATACATGTTGAAATCTCCCAAGAATTGGATAGTAAAGCCCTATAGAATTACCAGATGACTCTGAAGGTGGACGCCCTACAGGACCTGGCACTGCTGCTGCAACCATGGTTCTAATAGGCACTAACCTTACTCCTGGTTCCCCAGGAAATGATGCATCTGGACGCCTAGAGGTTGCTTGATTAACAGGATTATCACCTGGATTTCTTTGTACTAAGACAGATTGTGTATCACTGCGTTCTTCTTGATTGGTATTGGACAATGTTGATGAGGTACCTAATAATAGATATGATGTTAGATGAGTTAAAAGCATCACGCAAAACAACAGGACCTAGTAAATTAAAAATAGATATAATGTACCTCGTCGTATCTGTATATCTATACGCCTAGGGAAAAAGCTTGAACCAAGCCCACTACCTAAACTTGAGCTAGACTGTGGAGCTCCAACAGGGACAGTGCCAAAGCTTGTTCCAGCTTGAAAAGGAAGGGGCTGGAACCATGAAGCTCAATAAGCAACAGCAGTATAGTGGTCATGAGAAGAAAGATAGAAAGACAACTACCTGAACCATGATATGGTTAGGACCATTTGGGGATATAAAAACTGCAGGCCCACCATTAACCACAGCTTCAGACTGCAGAAGAAGTTAGTTAGTACTTAGAAGCACAAACCTAACAATTAAGTAACAAGATACCAACTGTGGGAAAGGGAAACCAAGCCTACCAGTGTTTGACCCAAACGCAGTGTCATGGTTGTGCGACCAAGCTCAAGTAAAAATGCACCCAGGTTATAAAACAAAACTCCAGTTCTCAATGCCCTAGACTGAATGCTTGACCGCAACAACGGATCAGTTACATCTGCTTGATTCTCCAGCTGCCTTGATAGTTGCTGTGGAAGTATATAATGAACATGGCAAATTTAAATGTTTAGAAGAATAAAAAAATAATTATATAACTCCAAATAGCTACTTGCAAATAATGAAGAAAGAAAAAAATAAACACTTCAAATTTTGAACCATTACATAATCATGTCAAACACAGAAGAGAAATCTAGGGAGGTGTTTTAGAACTCACAAGTAGGCATTCGCCAGCTTGTTCAACAATCATTCGTCTGGTAGAAAGTAAAACTTCTGCCAAGAATGTGGGAGATGAAAGTCCATCTGGAGTGGAACCCAAATTAGAAGAAACGGATCTAGTTTCTACATTCCTTTGAGCCTCAGCTGCTTGGGCAATATCCCCCCCTTCTCTGACTGCCAATAAAATGTGTCCCTTGTCATTCTCAGAGAACAATAATTCAGCAGAAGCCAATGAAGGATAACTATTAGATTCAACATGGCATGCTTACCAATTGCATCAAATTCATGGCTTATGTGACTTAAATATTGGGACAAAGTTGTTAAAGAATCAGGAATGACCTACAAAATGAAAAATAAATTGTATTATTTCCTCTCATGAAGAGATGGAAATACTCAATGTCAAATTTAAAAAAATATGTACACCTGAATGAAAGTAAATAAGGAACTTAGCACATACAGGAGGCTGCAAAGACCCTAGAGATACTGGCACAGGAGCTCCAAAAGTGGTGCGTGATCTATCAGACAAAATCCGAAAACCAGTTTGTTCGGGTTGAGGATGAGATGAATCAAATATTCCATTAGAGCCTGAAGTTCTTCCTGGGCCTTGGGAATCATTCTCCTTCATTCAATCAGATATTCCCAAATGTCATGGAAAAGGGTTTCAGATGAATATACACATAAAGAAAGACGCATATACCATTTTTCTTTGTCACACATCATAAATTCATTATAGCACTCCAATACCCAATAAAAAGAGAACTAATATACAGAAAGCTGAATTTACCCTGACATCAATCCCTTCAGCAACACTAGAAAAATTTGTAATTCCAATGGATCCTAGAACAGCAGAAACAATCTGCATAGGAATAAGATAAAGTTAAACTTTCAAGCACAAAAAAAAACCCTCAATGTGCCCCTTTTCTTCATATTTTAACTATACCCTATTGATTTCAGGATGAATTCCATCACCCTGAGCAGGCACATTGAAAGTTTCAATAAAAACACCAGGGGCTACTTGACTACTGTGACCAAGGCTTGTGCTTGAATTCGTTTCAGTCACTGCAAAAATGGAGGTAAGCATGGAGGTCAGTAAATACCTTATCTATTTATATTAAGGGAAAACTTTCATTTGGGTGTGCATTGAGGTCAGGAGGTAACCCACATGACAAGATCAATAAGAAAATCCCTTACCCTGTTCCCCACCCCATCAAAAGATAATACAACAGTGACAATTTTGCGGGTGCACAACTGGAAAATTATCAAACATTGAGAAACACTTTCTTGAATTTCTTCTTCCACAAATAATGCATGCTCCTTGGAAATATTTCCCAACACAATCAGGTAAAAATTTTGTGAAACTAAACTAATTACCTACCTAATTTGATTTTGCAGGTGCACCTGTTCAGTGGCACTAAGAATGTGTGCTTTGATCATCTTACCTGATTCTCCAGGAAAAAAAATTAAAACTCGCAAACCTACTTTGTCCACTTGCTGAATATAATTAATGTTTTCTCCCAAGCATGCTTTTATTCAAGTAGAAAATGGAAACACACAAAAAAGCTTCAAGCTATAACAATATCTTCTTTGCAAGAAAAACCAAGTATATCTTATCTCACCAATTTTCAACATGAAGGGAAAATATCAAAACATTTGCTACAAAAATATACAAGAAAACTACAATATAAATCCTACTACACAAGAGTACGTGACTTACACATTAAGTACAATAGCAAATGATAATGTACAAAATCACATCAAACCTGAATGATTGGGCACACTTCCTGGTGGTGGTAGATCAGGTTGCCTCACAACCAGATGCAAGGTGTGACCATCTTCAACATCTACTTGTGTTAGGGAGTAAACCCGTTTTGAAGATATTAAAGAATAGGAATGTAATTACAGAATCAAGTACAATTGCTATGAGAATAGCAGGATCAAAACTTCTTTGACAAACAAATCATGACTTTTGTGTCAAATCGAATCATCAACAAAAATGCTTCTATGTTTTTATATAAAATTAATTACTGAAATTATTATTATTTTTAATATACTTGGCAAACAAAAAAAAAATTATAACATGAGCTTATGGGCCTATATTTCAACTTCATACTTTTTTGTAAAGGTTCAAGCAATTTGGTACAAAACCAAAAAGTCACCAATTATAGAAATTTTACTGTCATAACTCTGCGTTCACTCTTATCAATGTGATTTTTCTGTGCTGGAGCCTTTTGCCTCAAAATCTAAACTCTTGACAACTTGTTAGCTCACAAAACAGATTATTACACTTAACAGTAGGGATCATATGTTTTACAGACACACATAAGAAATTATATCAAAGTGGATTAAGATATTACTATAGAAACTAAAGACATACACCCTTTTAAGGTAAGTATAAGAAACACAAATAAAGAAAACATCGCACTACTTCAGATTGTTTTGTATTTCCAAAATCCAAGTCTTCTCTTCATAACAATTAACTACTTAGTGGGCAAGATGGCATCTCCGTTAAAGGTCACATTGGCTTCTTTTGTGAGTCCTTCAACACACAGTGGAAAGACAAAGGGATAGGATACGATATGCAGACAGGAGCTGGTCATCCTTTAGAACTTTTCCTTGGCAAATTAAGCGCTGTCGTTCAGATAATACTCCAGTTACAGAAGCAATTTGTTCTTTTAGGGCGGGGACTGGCATCTGCAGAACAGGTTTGTTGTACAAAAAGGACAATTAGTAATAGATCTTTAAGCAGGTTGTCAGGTAATTCAGAGATCATCCTTATGATCAGATATCCTAAACAGTGTTGCAGTTAAACATCAAACATATAAGGATGTGTCGCATATGCAGAAAAAAAGTTTTATTGACAATTTATTTAGGAACCTTTTCACCAACGACTCTTTCTGTACTTCGGAGAAAGCACAAACGAAACTTCTTTTAGTCTTCAGCTTATTTTGAAAAACCTATTTAACTATCCTAATTTTTTCAATTTTCTTGATAAAAGAATTGTTTTTCTTTTGAAAAAAAAAAAAACAGGCCCTTAATCTTTTCTACCGGTTATCGTGTTTCTACAGGAAGGCGCAGCAAGAAGCAAGATACACATAAAGAAACAGTAAGTCTTCACAAGAAATTCAAAAAACATGTCAACAAAAAGATTATAAGACAAAGAAATACCTGTTTATCCACTCTGAGGGTGTATGTTTGAGAATCCAATGTTTTAATCTTTATCTCAATAGTGGTTTCTGAACTTTCAGCGATTGGGATCTTTTCGGCAACATTGCTTCCCATTCTCCACGTAATGCTCTATAATATTACAATATAGCAAAACTATTAAGAGGTCTGTCAATATTTCCTTCTTCTTCCGATGGATAAGATTATTGAGCAAATTATGTAAAACCAATAAAACAATACAAAATGAAAGAAATGTAAACTGCCGTATTTGAAAAACAAAAACACAACTAATTGGGTAGAAGTTATATCCTAAGACCTAAATGCAAGGTTGTCAAAATCGGGATTATGGATGACATCGTAAAGGGTTCACACAATCATAAATCGTGAAATCGTATCACAAATAATAGATCTTACTTTTATATATTATAAAATAAATATTAAGTCACACCTCAAAATAAACATACAAAAAAGACTAACAAAACACATCTCATGAAATAAAAAGATTGTTATTTAGTTTTAAGGACAAAAAAATTTCATATTACATCAAGAAATAGGAACAGTTTTTTTTTTCTTTTACTGTTTCAAAATGCAAGTCTGCTGAAAAATTCAAAATGTTTTCTTCTTTTTGTTTTAATGTTTCAAATGCAAGCCACAACCTGTGACCGGTGATGCAGCCCCAACCCTTCACCGACATAGCCCCAACCTGTGATATGCAACCCGCAACAGAGATCCCCAACATGTGACACGCAATGCACGACACAATCATGACAGGCTATGCAACCCAACCCGTGACGTAGCGCAACCCGCGACACAACCCAAATTGCAGTTTTGCATGATCTTGGATGGTGATTCCACCGATCCTACATTGTTCCAATCTCGCATGAGAACTGAAACGGTGATTGGGTGCAAAATCGTGGAATCATACGATTCCACGATTTTCCTCTCAATTTTGACTACATTGCTCAAATGTATAAAAAACCAGTCCAAAATGTAACCAGAAAACTGGGGGAAGCCCGTATTATATATGGGAGTTGTGATGAGACCGATACTCCTCCATCAACCCCATTAGGTTGGAAATAGAAGACCACTAAAGGAAAGGTTAGACAAACTAGGCTAGGATACATGGATGCATAAGATAAGATAAATATTTTGAAATGAATGAAAAAAGAATCTACATTCATTAAGTAATTTATTAGATGATCAATAACAAAGAATCTTGAGATCTATAAGAAAATAAAAACAGTTGGAAAGGTCCACTAAAGCCCAAATCCACTGAAACAAACTTAAAACTAATGTTTTTAAAACCGGTAAAGACATGAATTTAAAGTTTAAAGGTTCAATCAAGTTACTATAGTATTACAATGAAAGTTATAAATATAAAATATATTAGAAAGTGTAAGAAGAATATTTGTTAAAATAAAATAAAAATACAATTAAATAACTATTATTTAAAATTGACGTAATTAATATGAGATAAAAAATAAAAATTAAATATATTATATCTTTTATAAAAAAAATATATTAAAAAAATTGATCCTAAATTTTTTTATCAAAATCAGTTAGACCTAAAAACCTCATCAGTTTTTTCCGATTTTGTCTCAATTTAATTATAATCCGGTTATTTAGAAGTAACAAACCGATTTTTAGTCTGTTCACGGTTCAGCAGGTTTTCAAAACAATTCTTAAAACAGATGAACTCCTATAAGCATAGTTATCGATCCTGAATAGCATCGCATAACAGCCGACCCCAAAAAGGCTATAACAAGATGGCAGATCATGGGATGACAACTACTGAGTTTTGTCTACAGTATTTACAATGTATACCATTATACAAATAAATTGTCAAAAATGATAAAAACTAGTCAAAACTCGTGACATTCATAATTAACAAAACATGATTTACTAGTGTCTTAAACAAAGCATGAATGTGTTGTTAATTACTATCTGTGCTCATTAATTTAGCCCTATCTATTGAATGATCGATCTCAATTTGGGAGGAAGAACATGTAAGAGACATGAATACAAGAAAAACTGACAAAAGTCATGGATATAAGGACCATTATTATTATTATTTTATTAATACTGCTATTTAATTTATCATATTATACTGTTATGCTTTATATAAATAAATATATAAAAAGGAGTCAAATGAAACTCAACTAAGAAACAGCAAACCTAAACAAAAAAAAAGGACAAAATAAATAAAAAAAATGTGAACCATTGCCCTAATTCCCCCAATCCTAACCCTTTTGTTTAGGGTAACAGTGTCACCCTAACACACTGGCATCTATGCACTGCCTCCTCCTTAGAAGATTCAACTGCAAATGGAGGAGAGAAGAACACAGACACCTTGGCAAAGAGAGAGAGAGGACAGAGATCACAAAAGAGGAGGTGGTGTAATAGGCTGCAGCCACAAAACAACAAAGTTGAGTCATAACACATCTTCTACGTAACAACATTGTCAATGGCAAAAGGCGAAAATTCCACTAGATAAACACACCATTGCGGCCTATAGCACCACCATAGCATGTCTACCATCAGAAATTGCCTATGATAGTTGGGAAAAATCTGCCACATCATGGAAGCCATGTAACAACATTGGTTTGTAACACCTACTCCAACTGTTGTTCGCCACAAAACACGCTGCATTGACCAGGCACAATGTGATGGCCATTGGAGGAGTGTCGGGCATAGTTATGAGAATCTTACAATTCAGAATTTGAATCTTAAGACTCTATACATTTTGGCTATCTATTAATTTGTATCTTAAGATGAATCTTAAATGACTTTGTATGTTACAATACATGAATGAGTCTATGTAAGTTTTATAATCAATTCAATTCAATGATTCATATGTTTTTCATTTTTTCAGCAATTCTTACGAACAAAAACTAAAAACATCATGTGAGCTTTAACTTTTAAATGAAAAGGAATTGAAAAGAACACTTGTGAACTTATTCTATTTGATTATTCACCTTTAATGCACGTACTCTATTCAGCAATTTAACTGATTTGTTTCCATTCTTCTAAAATAAAGACCTCACAAACATTAATATATATAACAAATTGTTTTGAAGTAATTTTTATTATCTATATGATGTATTTGAAGTAATTTTTCATTGTACCTGAATCTTACTACTAGATTATAAATTACTATTCACGATTCAAAAAATGACTTAATGATTCATAATTTGAATCTCGATTCAATAATCTTGGTGGCAGGGTGCTACAACAGCACACTACTGTGCATTAGTGACTACTATGCCTAAAATTCATGCTGATATGATGAATAAGAGCCTACACTATTCTACATCTACAACCCAGCCTTTATGATCCAGCTCCTGCATCAAACTATCATAGCAGATGATAGATGGAAAATCCCAATGAATCCCAGTAAGCTAAACTCACACCTTGAAACTCAAGCTGAAGAACTTAAGTAGGATTACTCTATCTTCACCCTAGATCATGGGTAGTGTAATATAAATACGGATTTAAAAAAACAACTCATTTAGAGATGAGCTTTGTTAACTTTGCCAAAGTACATGCATAACAGACAAATATCATTAGCACTACGTAACGACCAAAGATTTTCAATGACAGATGGTAGAGAATATGGCTGGAGGTCAAAATTTCTAGCATATAGACACACCACTGCAACTAGGCCTCCCTTCACAAATGAATGACGGTGAAAGGGTAAAAAATTGCTTCCTTATAGCATTGTGGTGGGGTGTATGACGGTTATTCAACAACATTAAATAACGACCATTTTATGTAGTTTTGGTGTATATTAAGACAGTATATGTGTTTGAACAGCTAACTTCAAAATTTGTTAAATTGTATTAAGAAATGGAAGGTAGTGACTGAGCGGAGCAACCATAAAAGAAGCCCATTTGTGATCAAAAATAGATTGATTGCCACAACGACAGAAAAGCTCTTGACCCAGAAGAATGTGTGTTCTGTATTCAGAATCTGTTGATCTCAAAAAATATAGATGACATCAATAAATAAAATCCGTGTGAGAAGCTTACGTTACACGGCGGTTAGTAGTTCAACTAATTTCACTTTATATGATTAGGCACTTTCTAAAAGATATGTAATTTTGGCTTAGGTACACCTTTACCATTGCCTATATTCATAGGATTAGAAAAAGCATGGCATGCATCTCATCTAGATCTTTTGAAATAATAAATAATAACCAATATAACAAGAAGCAGATTCTCAGCAAAAAAACAGCCATAAAAATAAAACGCAATCCAATAAAATCACCCATATAGTTATGTACAACAAAATTCATTGAACTTTAAAATTTTAAAAATATCATCCCCCTTTACGTCAACCTGTTTCTTATCAGCAAATATCAGTAAACTAACAAGCCACAATTTCTCACACGCCAAACGAAAGGCGCTAGGCACATTCCTATCTCACATAGTGAAAAAAAAAAAAAAAAAAAGGCTCCAAAGACAGTGAACGGCATTGGTATACTCACAGATCAAAATGTATATCAACAAAATTGAAAAAGGAAGAAATCATCGACCTAATATCAGTTTGTAGATTCCCTTAGGCAAAACCGGAACTACTTCATAGATATTGGTTCTAGAGTATCTCAAAACTTCACACACTACGAAATGAAAATCAATGAGCAAACAGAGACGCAGTCTAACCAAAACGCGGAAATCGCCCAAACATGCATATTATTAAGAAGACAAACAATCCTATCAGGAACGAAGCGAATTCGTGAACCTAATTTCACTCTCGTAGACATATACAACGTGTGTGAGGAGGCGTTTGGGGTACAATTGAAAACCTAGTTGCAAATAATTGTAGAACAAACAGTTGCAGCCTAGGCTGGGATGGTTATTGAGGGAATCGGAAACGGAAATGACAGAAAACAGTGACTGTTACAGAAACACGAAATCGGAGAACAAAACGAAACGAGTGAGAGAGAATTGAATAGCGGAGAAAGGATAGTAAAGAGAGAATGAATCTACCTGAGAGCGGAAAGTTGAGGAGTGAGTGGTGGAGTTGGGGAATTAGGGATTGAAGGGAGGGAGTGGGTGTTGCAGCCTTGGCGCTTTCACCGCTCAGTTTCGCACACCACAGAGGATTTTTCACATGAATCAATGTAGAGTGCATGCGATTGTATGGTACAACCTGGAGCACTGGATTGTGACCCACCTTTTGGCCACGACCTGTCCTACGGTAAATGAGTCGGTCGCCGCCATTTTCTTATTTTTTATTTTTAGTTTTGAAGAAATTATGTTTCCAAATCAGTTGGTTAAACATTCTCAAAAATATGTATTGTCGATTTGCAGACGTTACGTATTTACTATGTTTTTTTTTTATTATTAAGATTTGTGAATATGATGCAAAATGTAACGGTAAATACTATGTTACTAGATTTAAATTTTGGATTTTGTCAAATCGATAAACAAATAAGTTAAACAAATTAGTTACATTAATTAATATTTTTAGTTTTAGTGTGATATTTTCCAAATTTGGTTAATTGTATTAATTTAAACTAGATAAATGATGGTAATTAGCAATTTTTAATAATTGATTAAATTATATTATTATTATATATATTATTCTATTAAATTAATAAAAAGATTTTTTTTTCTTTTAAACCAAACCATCTCTTTTTCTTTTCTTTTTTTCTAATCTAAGTAAAGCTAAATGTTATTGTGAAATTGTTCTAAAAGAAATTCATTTGTATAATGTTGATATAAATAATAGTTGAATTTTTTATATTTTTTAATTGATTGGTTTTTATTTGGTATGGGTCAAAAAATAAAAATAAAAATAATTCACTGCTTTACGTTGGATGAACTACGTCTCAGCATCAAAGATTATGGCAGTGTCGTGTCTAAAAGTAAGACGAACGGGCTCCGTCTAATATTAAAATTTTAAAATATTAAACTATTAAATAAAAAATCAGTATATTATTTGTCACTAATTTGTAGTATGATTATTTAATTTAAAACATTATCGTAGATGTTATTGTAGATTATTTGGGGAGTTTTACTACTCGTTTAAATAAAATTCTGGTTATTTAAATTTTACAAACAGACCATTGAAATTAATATAGAAATTAATTTCTGTAAAAATAATATGATCTATGGAAATATTTGATGAAAATATTAGCAATGACATCTATCGCACACTCAGTTAAAAGTTAATTATTTTATTCTTAAAACAATTTAATCATTTTAATTTTATTATTTTAAACATATGTAAAAACAAATATATTTGTGTAATAACGACTTATTTAGACAAACTTTAAATTGTGAAAACACTCTCTGGACATTTATACTAATTGAACAAATTTTAAGAAATACTGAATATAATTTTAATATTATTAGTTGTCTTCGTTTTTCTGAATGGGTCGAGTTTCAAAAGAAATAAAAACACTGTTACAAGTATTAAGTGATATTCAAATTTTTATTGTTTTTTAAATGTACTAATGTTATAAAATATTTTTATTACTTGTAAATATTGTCATTTTCAAAAGAAAAAAAAGTAATATTTTTATTTCAACTTGATGCCACTCCATGCTCCAAGAGAGTGATTGAATGAAATGTAACTAAATGGGATATGTTGAAATTGATTGATGTTTGTAGTTAAAAAAAATATATCATGAAAAATAATAATTTTATAGTTTATAAAGTTATAGCAATATCATGAAATTAATTTATATTAAAAACGAAACAAATATGTAAAGTTGTCGTGATAAACTAGATTATGTTTGATTCTGAATTACATAACAAAAACACATTTTCATCTTGTGTCATGTAGAAATGAGAAATAAAAAACATTTTGGGTGAGTAATGAGGGGGAGTGAAAGAGAAGGGGAAGGTGAGATTAGTATTTTAGAGGGTGCGAATAAATCTGTTCGAATTTAACTTGTTAAGGGCTTCACAGCCCAATTGGTATATCCATGGCCCAAACCCCATATTTTGCTGCACATGTAAAATGTAAACAAAATTGTTGTCTTTTCACAAAAATCCTAATAACGTTATATTTCTGTGGAGCAGTTCATGTCTATTTACTGGGTTCAATGTTTTCATTCCAATGATGTTTGTAACATTGAAGTTATATAGGTCAACATGCTTAACAACTAAGAAATATAAATAAATACATGATTTTAATATATTGTAACAAAATTAATATAATAATAATAAAAATATTAATAAATACACATATTTACTCCTCTATTTTATTTTCATTTAACTTATGTTTTTCATGTATATCAAACACAAGCCATGACCAAAAGAATTGTAAATAACCTGTATAAGATAATAGATTTTAACCTTATTGGTTGTTTTGTCTAGATTTAAAAAAATGATGTGAAGCACATTCTAAATACATCTTATATTAGTGGTGGTGCAGCGCAATGTGTGCAACCAAAATGGGCCACATGCATAGAAGAAGGATCCATCATGTAACATGTGAGCCCACATGTTAGATTGACCCTTCATGACATTGCATTGAATGTGCCCAACATAATGGGCCCGATTGATGGCAAGCGGCAAGACAATAGGGCGTTACTCAATTAATTTTCTATACCTTTCACTGTCTACGATCAACCCTATATGATGGACCAGAAGCTACTCACTCCTACATTTCATTTTTTTTAATATATAAATATAATATAACAATTATTAAAACAATTTTTAATTCCAATATTTTATATGTTTTTTTAGTGTTTTACATAAAATAAAATTATAATTTACGATCATAAACAATTCAGGCGAAAATTTCTAATTTAACTGCTAAAGCATATTAACTCATTTGCATGTGTAGAAAACAATAAATGTGCTAAAAAATTATTTTATTATTTTTTTTCAGTGATTGAGATTATTTTATTTTATTTTTACTTTAGAGGAATTAAATCATATCATGTAAGTTATCCGTACTTATAAATTTGTTCTATTTTTTTTTTTTTTAAATCTACAAATATCAAATTAAATATTAATTCATAACATTTGAAATATTTTAAAATATACAGATTCGAGAATGAGCAATAAGTTGTTAAAATAAAACAATATTATTAGTGCACTATATTATTTCTACAATATTGTTTCTGTAATGCAGATAACAAGAAGTTAGGTTGACTTCCACAACATTTTCTTCTAGTAAGGGATTTACACATTATGTTCAGACCCTTTAAGTCGTTAAATATTAATAACGAAAAGATAAAACCAATTTTTTTATATAAAAAAATAAAAAATATTATATATAAAAAAATAAAAAATATATATAATATTTTAACAAAATTTATATAAAAAAAATAAAAAATATATATATAATATTTTAACAAAATTTATATTTTACGTTGACGATATTTGTTGTCGTATTTTAATATTGATGTATGCTGACAGTTTTCTTTTAAAATTTTAGTTTAAAATAAATGCGAGATGATTCTTTAAGTTATTTAATAGGAGAAAAACTAAAAAAAGAAAAAGAAAAATCTTTTCGTTTATTTAGTTACTAGAAAGTTTGTGGAAATAAATGGGTGAAACAGGACAAATTCTCAAAAAAATGATATGTAATAATGAATGTTTTGATAAAAATTATATTTAGATTTTTTTTATAAGATATTTCTCTTAACAATATAAAAGAAATATATAGAGCAATATAGTGAAAATATTTTTTTATTATGCCATTTCCGATAAAATAATGAAAAGTTACGTGTAATAAACTTATTTTAATTGAGTATTTTTTTTTATTATTAATCTCTTAATAAAAGGAGTAAAATCAGTTTCCTTTCTTATCTAGTGCACAATTAATACCCTATATGTTTTTTTTTCTATGAATAAAATGCCCACACAAAGTACCATAGAGCAAAGAGCAAAACCTTTTTCTCCTGTTGTCTGAATTTTTCATTTTATATTAAACTACCACAATATTAATTTATAATACATGAGAGCCTTAAAATATATATATATATATATATATAAAAATATTTTATAATATTTATTTAATTTTTTCTTAATTATTTACTAAAAACAATATTTTTTTTATTTTTGTTCGGATATTAAAATCTTGAACTCAATTTATAAAATAAATTTATGATTAAAAGTTATCTCTCTCTCTCTCCCTCTCTCTCTCTCTATATATATATATACTACTTGATCTTTATTAGATTTGTTTATACATTCACTTGGTGCCTATTGGTATTAGGTAAGACAATAATAATAATAATAATAATTATTATTAATTTAATTTATATATACTTAAATAGATTATATATATATATATATGCTATAATATAAAAGGATTTATTTATTTTAAAAAAGTTAAATTTTTATTATTTATTTTTTAATATTTTATAATTAATTTTTAATGTTTAGATCAATTTACCAACAAGAAAATAAATTATGAAAATATAAAAGAAATACAATAGAAAAATAAAATAAAATAAAATAAAAGAGATAAAATAAAGTAAAACATACACATATTTTTTTAAAATAATATAAAAATTAAAAATAAGGAAAATATTTATTGATAAAATAATTAAATTATTGACTAATTAAAATTAAGAGCTTATTTGTTTATTATTTTAAAACCAAATTTTAATTTTTTATTTTTCAAAACTAAAAACCTTATTAACTGTTTAGTTTAATTTTTTTAAAACTAAAACAAATGTTTTTTTGTTTTAATTTTTTATTTTATTTAATGAGTAATAAAGTTTTCTTTAATAATTATATTTGATTATTCGATTTTATCATTATAAAATATTTTTCAAATTTGTAATGATTTTTTTTCATTTATATTTTCTCTAATTAAAAAAATATAAAAAAATTATTAAACATTTTTCTTTGAACTTATTTTTAAAATCAAGTTTTCAAAATTGTTATAATTTTTTTAAATAAGAAAATCAAATAAAATAAAAAAATCTTAAATATTTTTCATAGTCACGAAATTATCAATATAATTATTAGTTATATTTTGTAATCAAATAATTTGATAAATTAATAACTTCGATTCAACATCTCAATTTTTTTAACCATGATTAATAATTATAAAGTAATTTTATCATAGTTTTAAAAAAAAATTATTTTCACATTAAAAAAATGAAATACATTCAATTATTAATTTATTTTTCATAATTATTTTTTATTTATAACAATTTACCAAAATGAAATTGTAAGCAGAAGATAATAATTTTATAAAATAACACCTCTTAGAATAAAATATAAAATAGGTGAGTTAAAAGAGAAAACCCTTCCCAACAATAGATATATATTTTTTTCCTTTTATTTTTTTGTATTAATCATTTCTCATTTTCAATTTTCTTAGAAATTAAACTCTTATAATAAATATATCCCTTCTCTCTTTATTTATTATCCATCTATATATATATATATATATATATTTGAGTTTATTTATAGTGAACATTTATTTATATATATATATATATATATATATATATATATATATTGCACTAATATTTATTTTAAAATATTAGTTTAAAGATTATTAAGACATAGTTACTCTTAAAAGAAATTGATAAGTTACCAACCTTCTTTGAAATTATTGTATAGCCTTTAGCTCTAAAAAAAGTAAAGGATGATTTCATACAATAATTATTTGTAATTTCTTTACTGCAAAGATAGTGTTAAATGATATGATTAAGAAGTTTGAATTTTGTTGAAAATATAATAAATTTATAATATACAATAAGGTGTAAATTTCATACAAATTTAAGGAACTGAGTTAAACACTTTTCTATCATAATATATCTTGGTGAAATTTGTTGATCTATTACTTCATCACTTACATAATTGTCAGAGAAAGTCCCACATCATTTATTTCAATTTTTAAAAAATATAACTTATATGTGTTAGTTTATTCACCTAATATCAAATAATTTTATATTGAAATTTAACATAGTGTCAAAATTTTCTTAATCTAATTTATTATAATAAACATCTTAGTATTGTTTTTAGTAAAAAAAATATATAAGATACCTCAATTATCCAAATAAGACCTCATATTAATTTTTCAGTTATTTTAATATTATTAGAGTTATCTTTAACAATATATATATATATATATATATATATATATATATATATATATATATATATATATATATATATGCCATTCAGAAGAAATAAAACTAGTAATGGTACGTTTTCAATCATTGCTCCCTGTTTTTATTTTGTCAATAACGTGTGGTGTAGTAGAAACAACACTTATCACGTTCCTTTTCCTCTATCTTACTGTAGTCACAATAACGAGCCAGTAAAAAACTCAAGACGGAAATCTAACATGCACTCATGACTTAATCATCAAAGCAAAATACATGTTTTTGAAATATATATTATAATCAATAAAGGTGATAGGATAATAATGTACAAATCATTCCTAGGCCAAAAAAACTGCAGCATTTTCTGCAATGCTGTCTAACATCTCTGTCTACTATATATATTTTATTGATCCTAATATACGGAACTTTGTCAGTTTTTCTAGTTGATCATCCCTAGGCTCAGTTGTGTATGGGAGGCTTTCTCTTTGCTGAAGAATAGTCCATATCAGTCATCTCTACAAGGTCATGGTAGTGTTCCTCAGGAATATCTTTGTGCTTCCAAGAGCTCAATGTATTCACATTTTTAGTATTGGCATTCACCAAGTGTTCAGTCTTGGATTCTTCCACATTCTGTCCATGGAAGATACATATAATGAGGACACAAATACAAAAAATTCCAATGTTTACATTTAAGTTGAGACCTACAATATTCTGTAGTAGACAAAAATTGAGACCTACTGCAGAAAAAAATTAACTTTTTTTCTGTTTCTAAACCAACCTTTGAGAGGGACTGGGTTGTAGAAACTGAAGTGGTAACCAGTTTCCTATTCTTTATCTTTCCTGCATCAACATAAGAACATTCAAAATGTTTAATACTACTATTCATATATATATATATATATATATATACAAAAGAGTTGTTTTTGGTTTTAGTTAAATTTGTTTCATGATGCTTAGTGAATGTGTTTGCTGTGTTTTAGTTAAACCAGAAACAAAAGTGAAAGAGAATGAAGCTTTGCATTTTTATGCATAACCACAAAATTTGAAGTCATTTGTGACAACTTGCACTAAGCATAATAACCGGTCTTAAGACTGTGAATCATGCTTGTGTTATAAGGGAACAAAGGGAAAAAAAATGAACTAATGGTGTCTAGGCCTATGCCGTCTAGGTCCATAGTAATCTTCATGAATGTTTGGTAACTGGTGGTTTGGTTTTCTGAATACATTAGAGGCTCTTTTCTTGTGGCTACCTGTGCATTCTTTGTCTTTGCAGAGAACAGTTTCCTCAGCATCAGTATTACTTCTTTTCAGCAAAGTACTTTCTCCATCCTGCAGTCAGAAGTAAACATTTTTATATTTACATTAACATCGAAGTGTGAAAGCATGAACTAAGGTTAAAGTTTATTAAAGAAACGAATGCATAAAACTACAAAGTAACGACCACCTACTTGTTGTTTCTGTTGCTGAGCTGGTACAGACACTTTCCCCAGACGAATCCCTGAACCAAGGTAATGATATTAATTAGAAATCCAAAAATAAGGCCTAATTGACTTAACTGCTGCTGAAAGTATCATGTTAATCAGTAATTACCTTGAGTTTGTGCAAGGAGAAGTGACAGAATCAGAAGAGAGACTGCAAAAGAAGGCTTCATTTTGAAGAAAAATATTGGGAAGAAAAGCACTTTGAGTCCTCAAACAAGAGAGTATAGTTTTCTTCAGATTTTTCTTCCTGTGAAGAAGAGCTTAACTGAGCAATAAATGGGAAATTCTGAGTGGTTGATGAGATGAAGGATAGAGAGATGGAAGCTTATTATATTTATAGTGCCGTATAGGGGGGTCCACAAAGAAGTTCAACTTAAACTAATAGTATTTTACTACCTTTTTATTAGTTGTCTTATGACACCCCTCAAAGTGCCAACTGCCACCCTATATCAAAGGAAATTGCTAATCATTCGAGCGAAGGATTAGGTCTTAAAAAGGTTTTGAAGTTAAATGATAGAAAATATTAAGCAAGAAAGGTGATATTAACTGTTAGGGATACTGGAATATTCACCACGTACACATTGAGCAATAAAAGGTACATACATAAGTAAGATGAATAAGTTCGAAAAACAAGGATAGATAAATGGTATAGACATTTTTCAATATCAAATAAATTTTCATCAAGACATTATATTTTTGTTTCAATTATATGTATCTTATTACTTGTCTTTCTTTTCTATTTTCTACTTTCGGAGCTAAATAACATGTAACATTTGGTGCCCACCAATTAATCTTTTTCCAACCTAAAAGAGGTACATTTACTTTGGGGAATGGCACAGGAAAAAAAACCATGAACCCTATAATAAAGTATATAAGTTTGCCTGCTTGTCCTGTTCTTTTTTTCTCTTCTCTACATGAATGCAAGCATCAATGTTTGCAAATTTCCATGATGCCAGACTTTTGTTCTGTCTGGTTCACTTTTGAGCAACATGAATACAACAAGACCATGTTTTCCCTATTTTCATTTCGTCGCCTTTAGACACTGTCTCTTCTAGAAGACAACCCAGATGGATTTTCTCATTTTCAAGCTTGATAGCATAGCCTGTTTCTAATCACCAACAGTTTTTACTCTAGCTAGGTAGGTAGGAAGAGGAGTCCAATTTCTGTTAAGACAGCTTATACATCCTTGCCATATATATCAACAATCCCTCTATCCTATCACACCATACATAAATAGTTAAATTATCTTTTTTTTATATGAGAAAAAGTGCACCTTGTTAATTTAGTTTCAACATAGATCCATCTCTATTGAATGAAATACCTACCTACGTACCACTGAATAAAAATTTACAGTTAGCTGATGAACTTTCATCAGTATAGTTGTACTTCCAAGAGAGGTGAACTTTCAATCCAACTCTATTTTACATTGTTTCTCAACTCGCATATGCCACTTGTTAGACCGAGTATTTATTATTAGACCAAACATAAATGGGCAAGCTACATCATTATCGATCGGTATTGGTATTGGTTCACATCTGATTCAACAATTCTTATCAATAAAAACTGAAACGTGTTTCAGATTAAATTAGAGTTTGATCCTACCATCTAGAGAAATGTCAAATTGGAAACATAAATATGATGGAAAGAGAAGAGTTGTGGTGTGAGATTTCACAGTGATAGAGAGAAGTGAGATGAGTAGGTGCTAATAATGGAAAGTGGTGCATTGTGGTTTCGCAGTTGAACGCCACTAGGCCATGCAGGAGCATGAATTAGGCAACATTATTGTAGTGAGAGTGAAGGTGAAAGAAAGAAAGAAAAGGTTTGAAAGAGAGGGTTTGTGGGGTGATGATACATTATTATGAATGAATAGTGATGCATGATGGGAATGGTTACGTAGGAGTTTGTCGCGTAGTTGCCTTAGGAAGGGAAGGAAAAGACCAGTCCACGTGGAGGTCGACATCTCGGGGTGAAGTGGCACGCCAATTACCACGTGGGCACCGCAACTTCACGCACCATGTTCTTTCTCTGGGATGCATCAAACACATTGGTGGTCATGTTTGTCAGAATTTGTCATGTGGAAGACTATGACTCCCTCATCCTTTTATTCCATTCACTCATCCTATTTCACTATCTTCTTCATCTTTCAAACTTATGTGTGATATTAATTGTTCTGCACGTAATTAATGGTATATTTAGTGTTTCAGAGATATACTAGTATTCACCTGTGTGTGATTTGTTATACACATTAACTAATATTTGCTTCTATAAACTTATGATAGAGAAAAGAAAGAAAAGTAATAATGGTATATACAGTATAAATCTGAAGAGAGAATTAAAGAAAAGTAAGAAAGATTGTAAGACATTCATGAGTAGTAAAGTATAATAGATTCATGAAAAAAAGGTCATGACACGTTAAAGTTACATCAACTTGTCACGTTATGGGTATATCTTTCATGACGAAAACTAAGTTTAAAATAAAGAGGTTATTGTGGAATTCCAGAATATATGTCGCCATAACCATTAACCACGGAAGAATGTGTTTGGCTCTGTACCGCACCAAAACGCACTTTACGCTAATCCCAAATACTTGATATTCCAATTCCGCAACTCTTGTTTTGCTGGAACTCAACAATAAGCACACACTTCAACAATTTAAAAATTACTACGTACTAACCATTTACGAGTGAACTTTTTGAACTCAAAACTAACAGATAATATATGACTTTCTTTTTAACATCTTCGTCGACTACAACAACTTCTTCGTTGACTAAGAATATATTTACTAAAATAATTATATTAGATTATAACTTAAAATTAATTACTATTCAATAAATACTAAAAATAAAATGTATAAGTCGTAACATAATAAGAATCGTGATAAATAATGTGAGATTTTTCCTTATATTACCGATTAATTTATCTTCAACTTATTTCATACTAGTTATTAATTTTTCTTCTTAGACATTAATTGAGAAATTCAATTTGATTTTTTATGTATTTATAACACATTAATTAAAACTATATTGAGAAGGGGATTGAAATGATTAAATAAGGGCTTTGAAAAGATAAAATTTCTTGTGGCAATAGTTTGAACTGCTTTTAGAAAACAAAAACCCGACATTAGGACGTCACCTTTGAGACTTAGAATTTGGAGTGGCTTAACAGTTGAAAGTTGTAGGCACCTTTTAATTTGTCTGTCTTTCTTTTGTGTTTGATAAAGACCAAAACTTGTACGTAATTTCTGATTACGTGCCTCTTCATAGCCAAACAATCCAACTTTCCTGATCGTATTCCTTTGTTTATACTCCATTTTTCAACGACAAAACCTAGCCAAGTCATACAATCCTATATCATACGTACTTTTCTTATTATTTTATATACAAATTTCATTTTACATGTTATACATACTGTACTTTGCATACACTTGGTTCGTGTTTTGTGTTATTTAAGGGGTTAAATGCTGGTTCAGGTTTTTTTATTTGAGCACGTAAAGAGTATTTACAGGTCCATATATATTTATATTCTACTTCCCAGATTTCCTGGAAGTTGATTAATTTATTCCTTCCATGCCCTTTGGATAAACTAAAAGAATATGTTTATATTATCTATGTCCAGATGGTCTCGATACATAATTAAATAAAATTATTAAGTAAATCAAATGAGTTTATTGAATAATAAAAATTAAATTATAAGTAGAGGATATATTTTCTGCCAATATTATCTATTAGATAAAAGATTGATTTAAAATATTGTAAATATATAATGCACTTTTTTTAAGATATGTAATGTTAGATAAAATTTACGTAATTATTATATTATTGATTTTTTATTTGAATTGAGCGCTAAAGTATATTTATAAGCACTCTTGAGAATATCATAGACAAAAAAAAGAAAAGAAAAATACGAGCTCAAAAGAAAAAAATTGTGCCTGTTTCTATGCTTTTTTGTTTAAATTCATATGCATTTACTAGTTGCTGGAGGGTGTCTAGCTCTATGGAGTTATCAAGAACAAAAAAAAAAGCTGATTATACTTTTAAGTAGAATAAAAAAAAATTGAGAGTAATTTGATTTTGTTGGATTCAACGCGTGATTTTTTTGTGCAAAATTGATATTGTTTGATGTAATGAAGTTGTGGCTTGCAACACAAAATGTGCTATGTTTGTATTACACACGCCATTAGATTTAGAAGTTTGTGAGCTTTCACGTACTCTCACATGACTTGTTCACTTCCCATTACCACATGCCCCAAACACCGTCTCAACCGGGCCCCTCCCCCACATTATTTATTTCCAGGAACAAACAAAACCAAGTAACTACCAATCTTTGTGCTTAAACTTTAACATCTCACATCTCATGTACCAATTATTGTTTTTTACTACAATGTAAATCATGTGCCCCACTAAACAAATTGTTCAACTTTGGAAATTAATAAAGTCTCACACTATTTATATACTTATAGGGTAATAGAAGTCAAATTATTACTATAAATAATCTTATGAATATTAACTATTTATTAACTAATTTATAAAGTCTCACACTATAATTCTAATTTACCGCATTATTTCTGGTGATGAAAAAATTACAATTGTCTTAAGCTATAATATATATATTTTATTTTCTACTAGTGATAGTTGAGTTTTATTCTGTTTGTGTAGCCAACGAAGTTGACGTATGGATTCTAACGAGTATGAATGTGACGTACGTGGGAAGACACCTAATTCCAATTTCTGACAATGCTTCAAAAAGCTTGTTGCTCATGTGAATGACATGACTTTGCTTTAAGGCTTAACTCCTTTCGCAATTCTTCCCTTTCTATATGTGACAAATACATGGTATGAGGAGGAGGTGGGACAAATGCCTTTTTTGTGAATGATTTTTCCTTTCTCAAACGCCTAAATTTGTGAGCTGAATTTCATTATTTTGTAGAAAGTTCGTCCAGAAAACTTGGCTCTTACTTGAAGATGGAAGACAAGCAAAACAAAGGGATTGAGTCTTTTGAAGAGCCACCTTAGAAGGTAATCAATCCAACATTAGTCTCCATAAAAATCCTTCGTCTCTAAGAGGTAGAAGATCTCTCCGAAGTTTATTATTCTACATAGCTAAAAGAGAAGGATTAGAGTGATTAATTTGAAGTTACTTTAGTAAGTGATCGAGATTAAGAAGATCTGAGGAAAAAGTTTATGAACTAATAATTCCTCCAACTGCATTACCAATAGCTTAGTAATGTTACAAAAACTATAATATTAGCTCCTTTTTGTTTTTTAATCTTTATGACTCACATGCTGTATAATCTCACTGCTCCTTTGCATGTCTACTTACTCTTAAAATGCTGATAAACTACATCATATATTAGAGCAAACCAGAAACAAGAAAACTATTATTCTCATTCTTGGGGTACTGATTCACAGAGTAATCTTTAGATACCCCTTTACGACAGATCAAGTGGATGCTTATCAACAAAGTCATATAATTCATCTCCAATTCTAAATCCAAGCATTTTGGCCATATCATTTGCCTTCAATTTAGGTTTGGGAATGTTGTGATGCTTCAACCAGGAATACACAATGAAAACTTTCTTCATAACAAACAGTTCCAATGCCTCTGTGTTGAAAACAATTCCCATTTTCAAATTCATCTGCAGCATAGCATATAAATAATGTCAGAATCAAAACATGTTTTCCCTTTTTTACGCACAAAGATGCAGTTCTTAACATCACCTGGTGTGGAACCATCATTGCTGCATACCGAGCCAGTTCTCCAGCTCTCCAATCTAACAAAACTGGCAACCATGGATAGGTAGCATCAAGTCTCACAAACCATACCCTAATATCAGGATACTCTGATAATTCTCTTGGATCTTGGGGATCTTCTCTAGTATAGTTGATGGTGAAGCCAATTGAGCGCTCAAGAAACTCTTTTGGTTTAACTGAAACATTAGCACAAACAGGTACCATCCAAGTTAACAAACTTGAAAGTTCATATATATCCACAAGAATAACCAAACAATTTTCAAGGTTCATATTAGCATGCCTACCAGATAAAGGGGATTTCATGCCTGTTGCAACTTGAAAAGGGGACAAGTCAATACGAGTAATAATATCATTGTCAATAACAACCTCAAATCGGCCTTCAGTTGGTGGCAGAGGAGGTGCAACTTTAGGTTCATCTGTCAACCAAAGTCTGTTCAAGTGTAGTATAATAGATTCCATCAAATGCATGGAGCACAATTCATTACATGGTTCATTAGGTGGAGTGAGGAAGTTAGATTTTCTCAATCTTTGATTTGAAAAGGATTTAGTTAGGAGGCCCTTTAATTGAAAGCAAGAGTGCACATATCTTTACTTTTTCATTTTCGCACTTGTATTTTTGAGTTTAACTTTTATCCCCTGTAAGTTCAAAATAATTTACAATCTCAATCAATCAGAAACCCTTGACATGAATTTAAATAATTATAGTAAAATTTAACAAATCTATATGATACTGTAACTTTATTTTCATTTTTTCCTAAATAAAACCTACGATAACCATAAATAACTAACATACGTACTTAATTCATCCTAAGCTTAATCGACAATAACTTCATGATTTCCTTAAAAGGTCTATCTATCTATAATTGCTCCTTACTCTTATTCTCATTTTCAACAAAATAGAAATGCAAAACACAGACTTAGCAACTAATGAGTGATGACCATATCTACCTTAATGTTTATAGATTACAGTTAACAAAATGAATGAGAAAATGAGAAAAAAATGGAAAGAAAAGAGGAGGGAATGATAGTGTATAGGTGTTACCATCATCATCAAACAAGGAGAGGTCGAAGTTGCCTTGGGGGTTGTAGGCAACAGAGACAGCGACATGTCCTCTCTGATACAAAGGACGAGAAATTGGAGAGGGAAGGGAAATTGGTTTGCATGAAAACCATGAAATGGATGGTTTTGGCAAAGGAGAAAGTGGAAGCAATGGTGTCCATTTCATTGGGGTAGTACCCATTCTTGAACTCATTGCAGTTGCAGGCACACAATAGCAGAAGCAGAAGCAGTTAATACCGTTTCTATCCACAAAATTCTCTGGCCTTACGTTATTCTATCCGAAAGTGTTTTAAAACCGCTTTTCGACCTTTCAAGAAAAATCAAAACATAAACAAAAAACACATATTCAAAGTATATAATTTGTTCAAATACAATGAACAAATACCAAATCATTTAATTAATTTTCTATAAAATAAAATCCTTTCATTCTTTATCAATTGACACACAGCTTGCTACTACGTTGAATCTTTAGTGACATTTGATTTGAGTTTACTATCGAAATTTATATAATTTTTAAACAATTGAAAAGATTTTCAAATGTTGTACCTTTTAACCATATGCTTCGAGTTCAATATCTGACTATACATATACAACAACAGGCATTCGAAGAAGAGTTGTCCTTTCATTATTTCTTTATTTTCTAATTTAGTTGAAAATTTAAGTTATTAACATTCATTAAAAGAATTAGTTGGACATAACGAGATATTTTTAATTAATCAATTTTGAAATAATTATGTTTTAATTTTATACCTCTATTATTTTTATATATACTCTCTTAAGTTATCAGCACATTTAAATCTATTGTCTCTTTATTATTTAATGCTATAATTAAGGAATTCATTTGTTTAATTCATATATTAGGTAATGCTTATGTTCTAAGCTAAAATCCATATATTTACACGTGATGTGACCTTTTATCATATCTTAACGTGTATCATTGATATTACTTACATAATTACGATCTCATTTAACATTAGATTTTTTTTTTTTTTTGTTACAGTATTTTGTTTTCGCATGGTTGGATACAAATATTATATAATTTAAAAACTATATGGAGAAGTTAGTGTAATTGAAATTCATGTGGTTCGGTTCAATTGATATGTTTTATGGATCATTGAATTTTGTGATGGTTTATTTATAATCTTGTTAGAGTTTTATGTGGTAATGTTTCAATGAAAACTTGATCCTCTATTTGCACACAAAGCTAAATGTATGCTCAAAGACAATTAATGCCTCTTTTCACCAAAGAAAATGTTTAGTTGGTGATAATAATGTATGTTCCTGCCCAAATTCAGTATATATAGATGTACTCTTTTGTTCTGTAGACAAACATACGAATAACCTGTGATAAACACAGATAAATATACTTTGTAGACAGCTTGTAGTCTCACCAAATATGTTGTCACTGGTACTAGATCATGTGGCTATTTTGAAAAATCCTAGACTTGGGACACCATTACTTTATTTTGTGGAGTACACATTTGCTAGTGGGAACTATTTGAGTTGCATGTTCTTGCACATGTCGTGTTACACCACTTATTTTACACATTCATCCACATATCTGTGTCAAGTCTAACAATGACACTCCCTAACTGTGTCATGTCTGTGTAGGTCTTGGAGAGACTAATTGATTATTTCCCAAGACTATGATATATCTGTTACAATTTTTATTGGTTTCTCTTAAATTCCAATTGAAATGTCTTATCAGTTGCAGAGGACTGCATGGACCTATGGCCATTTGACAGAGGAAGAGATTATAGAGCTTTGCTTTACTAGGGACTGATGAATGGGCTACATGTAAAGGTTGTGTGTGTAAAGTGCATCACATATGTATGTCTAACCATACATCATATTGCTGACAATTCTTGTGGAGAACATGATCCACATTGTGTAAATGCCAAATTAGATATTTGGATAGTGTGGGTCATGTTAAGGATATGCTGATAGCTCAGTAGAAATATGAGGATCCTTTAGTAGTTTCGTGAAATCGTAAAGGTGATCACGCAACTCAACCGACATGATTTAACATTGTTTCTTTTGGTGGTGCTGTCCCACATGACATGTTTTGATCAAATAACCAATCTCAAGTTACTACATTGACCTTTATAAGAAGTAAGGAGAATGCCATTGACACAATTATTGCAATCACAAAATCACACCATTTTAAACCTGACGTGATTTTCCTTGTTTTAGTTTTAAGTGGTCCTACTCTAATACTTCTGAATGAAGTTACGTGCGCAACATGTATGTGCACTCTAGTAGACTCCTCCAAAATAAAAATGTGCATATCAGAACTGTGTATAGTTTTACTCAGCAAGTCATAACATCATGTTGTAGTTCCTTTCATCAGTTGCTACAGGACAGTGGAAGTTAGTGGTAGTGCTAATGATGAACATCGCGAGATTTATGACTAAAATGATAGTAATCCCTTTACCTGTATGTTTTAAGGTCACAGTCATTGGACTGTATGAAGGAGAGGGGATGTGTTGATTCAGAAACAATCACAATCTGTGATCATATTATTGTAAGTGAAGCATCATGTTCATCAGGAAGTAGTGAATTGTCAAATGTGTGAATGCAGGTAATTGAGATCCTATCCTTACCAAGTGGAGAAACCTTATTTAAGAGTAAGGTGAATATGGTACATACATCCTCATCTGGTCATTGAAAACGGCTCTGCACGTGACATAGGGTTTAAAAATAAGGGGTGGGAAATAAAATAGGACATGTGGAAGAGAGTATGGGATTAAAGAAGGAGGGGAAAGTGAGGGTGAGGTAGAATTGCACTGGCCTCGGCAGATAGATCCCCTCGTGCGGCTCACCCGCTGACCCACACTTTCTCATTCTAATCTAACCTCATAATCTCTGCCAACTTCTGGATCTTTTGACCTTTGACTGCCACACCATACACACAAACTTTATAACTTGTATTCTATCATGGAAAAGGATCCTCTACACACTTCAATTTTGGTCCTTGGATCCCTTGCACGTGAGGTCCTTTGCTGATATGATACCATTCTGCTTTTCATGGCACGTGGGGGTGACAATTCTTTTCTTCCATCAATTTTTATTTTGGCAGCTGCCCTTTTGTTCTGCTAACGTATTTCTCAGCATTTTGCTTTCTGTTTTGGTAAGAAAAGATATTAACCGTGTTTAGATGTACCATGGTTGAAGCTCATTTGTTGAAGCTGTTATGTACTAAAAGTTCACTCCCATTATGGGTTGTTAGTTACTAGGATTATGATACAATTTATGCATCATGAATATAGTTATACTATACATGGCTATGAGTTGCCAAGTTGGCTTAGAATAATGGCTAAAAGACCTTAGGAGCTATATAGAGCTGAAATTTCAAGATAAGTTAAATCAGGAATCAACTTGTTTTACTAGTCTTGTTGGTGAAATTGTTTTTCCAAAAGTGACACCACGCACTGTCAGTTGTCACGCCGAAGCTAAGGATCACGTGAAACGGGAATTAGGAAAACCACATAGCAACGGTGAAGGGTAAAAAAGGGAAAGAGAAAAAAAGACTAATCTCTTTCTTATTCGTTCAAACCCCAAGAATAACTCTTGGTTATAGGCTAAAGGCACAACAAGCAAGGTCCTCAAAATTAGCACTAAATTAAGCCCATAAAATAATTTGTCGTTAATTTTGCTGGTTAGTGCTCAATGAGTTGTGCCTGTCTGTCAAACGTTGTTAGAAATTCTCATAATTATTATAGTACACAAAGATTGGTTTAGTGGAGTGGTTGATTGGTTAATGTTGCCCATATTTGATTCCCCAAAAAACATGGGATTTCATCGTACATGTCTTGTTTCAGATTTTAGCTGGCTCAGTTTAGGCGATGCTGCCATCTCTGTAATGCCATATGCACAGCACATAGCACTAGGAACCAATTTTTGCACTGAGTGGCTGAATAATTTGGTTTGGAAAGCATATATCTTCATTGTCATTGTTTTAGTTAGTCAGAAAATGGAGGATGGGAAAATTGGCACAATAACTATATCATATTCTTTAGGCTTTGGTTTTGTCTTATTAAAACAGAAAACTAGCCATGATTTATACAGTTCCTACACTTTCTAAATCACCACCAGTGGAATTAGAACTTCGGTCTGCAGCACAAAAGAAAACTGCCAAACTGGGACAAAGTGCTAATTCCTGCTACCCCACTTCCACTATTCCATAGAATTTCATGGTGTCAAAAATGAAACAATCAAATTGGTCCCATAGATTAACCAAACCTTTAAACTGTTTGTTGTTAACATTCCTAGCTGGATTCGAGTGTTCATAAAACGTGACTTTTTAAAGTACATGTCATTATCATGGCTAGTCACCTAGCTAGGATCCTCCCACAATTGTTGCCAAATTAACTAGTTTTCTCCGATTATTCATCAGAATTGAACATACTGTTCACAATACTTTAGCCTCCTTGAGACTGCCAGACTGTTTATGCATGTGTGTTTATATTCCTTTTACGAAGAAATTGAAGCACTTGATAGGATGGGTAATTGTTTTTACAAGCATATTCAAAAACTTCGAAAGAAAACAATAAAATAAGACACGGGAGTGACCATAAATGTCATACAAGTTTTTTTCTCCTCAGTATTGTATATATGATTTTCCATATAAATTAGAATGTTTTTTAATCGAAATTCAAATGTTGATATATATGCGAAGCAAGGTTATTTTTCAATTGATAGTTTGAGACTAGTTCCTTTTAAGACAAAAAAAGAAAAAGAAAATTACATAAATTGTTAGTATATATACAATTTTAATAACATAATATGAACATGGGCAAGTATGTATAAATAAAACTATGCAGTAAACATAATTTATTTTATATGATAGTATATCTATATCTATATGTAGATGGAATCAAATTTGTTATTGTGTTTGCATCAGATAGATATGAGGTCAATCTCTATTATAAATTTCCACCTCTGAAACAAGTATGCTCTTGATTTCTGGCACTATGTTTCATGCTATGTCTTGCTAAGTAGGTAGATGATTGGTGTCTCTATGCTCTCATTGCTTAGCTTTGAAGTCATACAGTAATCGACATTATTAATTATGCAAAATAAGGAGAACAGAGATGTGCAGAAGTCCAACATACATAGCACAATAAAGAAAGCTTAAAAACAGTGTTTGGAGAAAAGGTGACTCCAAGTTCTGTTGTGCCTTTTCTTTCCCTTTTAATTCTGTTTTCATTTTTAAACTTCTGCTGAGCAGACCGACTTGTCAAATAACATTAAAAAAATAAGGATGAACTCATTCCATTTGTATTATTAGTAAAATCCATTTTATTTTGTCGACACATATTAATCCTTTTATTAGTAAGGTTTATTTTATTTTAAAATAATGAATGAGATCTTCTGATAAACATTAGTCATTTTCCATGAATATTTTGCACCAGTAAGGCTATAACATAAACGGTTGAACGAAATTAGCCAAGAGTGGTATAAAATGTAGACTGTAAGAATTGAATTAGCAATGACAGCACTCTACAAGCATACACAGACATCATTTGCACAAAAATAATGAAATATGGTTCTCCGTTTCAAAGTCCAAAATCAAGTGGCTATTAGCAACTGGTTGTTTCCAAGATATAGTGAATCAGAGGGAGGTGGAGATTAATATAATATGAGAAGAAATAATAAAAATTGCAGCTAGTTCAAGGAAAGAGTAGTTTTGTTTAGCAATAGAGCTCTTAAGCCAAGGAGATGAGCAGAGAATAGTTTAGTTTAGGGGCCTAAGAAGAGAATGGGAGACACAGAAACAGCGCCCACGTTCCTCTCATAGCTTAACTTGTTTCTTTATGACTTTCGGTTTCTCTCTCTTTTATTTCTCTGTCTCTCATATCATAACCCTTCACCTATACACAAATTGTTTTCTACCTATTATTATTGTTACTATTAATTATTCAAGGAATAAATATATATGTTCTCGCCTCACTCCTCTTGTGAACCTCAATAAATACTCTTATCTCCCTCATCTTCTCTCTCTCTCTGTGCTTCTCTCCTTAGTTACTTACTCACTATACCTTGATCACAGCTCAAGGAGAACTTTAAGAGGCTCTCTTGCAAGTCTTAATTTCCATGATCATGGTTAATTGAATTCCCTTGATTTTGCTCTCTTTATGTTTAAATTCTTACTAATGATGATGATTGCATGACCCTTTTGGTTGTAGTGATAATTTATCAGCTTTGTTTTGGTGATGGTTGATTATTATAGGGATACCAAAAGCCTGCATGGTTGGAAGCTCTTTACACACAAAAGTTCTTTGTTGGATGCTCTTACCATGAGAATGCTAAAAAGAATGAGAAGAATGTCTGCTGCTTAGATTGTTGCACCAGTATTTGCCCTCACTGCTTGCCATCTCATCGCTTCCACAGGCTTCTTCAGGTTCGCCGCTACGTTTATCATGATGTTGTTAGGCTGGAAGATCTTCAGAAACTCATAGACTGCTCCAACGTTCAGGTATATATACACATACATATAAAGCTAAATAAAGTAATAGTAATACATTTGGATTTCAATTCAGCTTTTGTACCAAAAAATAAGTGAAATTCAATTTGATATGGTTAACTTGCTGATCCAAAAAGGTTTGAATTCTATTGTTAGGCCTATACTATCAATAGTGCCAAGGTGGTGTTCATCAAGAAGAGACCTCAAAATCGGCAATTCAAAGGGTCAGGAAACTACTGCACCTCCTGTGATAGAAGTCTCCAAGAGCCTTTTATCCATTGCTCTCTTGGATGCAAGGTACTTGCATACATAGACTTACAATTTATTCTAAACAAACAAAATTCACTCGTGAGTTTGCCTGGATATATAGGTTACTGTATAGAAAGAATTGTAGATTAAAACTGATAGTTCTTCTGTCAAATATAGCATAAAAAACTTATTGTAATTTGGTTATCACTTGTATATATGTATTATGTACCTTGATTGCAAGATTAAATTGAACTTCCATCAATTTAGTACATACATGTATATACTTTGGTTCGGGAATTATTATAGTTAAAGAAGAGTAACCATAACAAATAAATAAGACAAGTGAGGATTTTCATTAATGGTTTATGTGTGTGAATGTAGGTTGATTTTGTGCTGAAACACTACAAGGATCTCTCTCCATACTTGAGGACATGTAACTCTCTACAACTAAGTCCTGACTTTCTGATCCCACAAGAGATGGGGGATGAGGAGATGACTCGTTCAACGGTTGTGGATTGTGATGAACCAATGAGCTCATGCTCGGGGTCATCAGGGTCAGAGAACAACATGAGCATGTCTTGCACAGAGATTGTTAGGAAGAGGAGGAGTGGATGGAGCACTGTGTGTGCAAAATTCATGGCCAATAGCAGTAATAAGGTTTCGGATGAAGACATGGCCACCAGCATGAGTAGAAGAAAAGGGATCCCTCATAGATCTCCACTGTGTTAGCTACACTAATGAACCAGCACCACCACCAGAAAAAAAGAAGAAGAAGAAGAAGAAGAAAGTAATGGATTATGAGTTTAGTACTTCAATTTTTAATTTTTTAATTACTGTGATATGATATTTTGACTGAGGTGAAATGTTCAAAGTTCTCTATCTCTCTCTTTCTCCCTCGAAATTGAAGATTTTGTTTAATTAATCACTTGGTCGGGGGTTTTGTCTTAATGGCATCACGTGGTTCCCAATTCCAAGTTATGGTCTGTACATTGATAAAAGATATTATTATGATCATAATAATTGTGGTTAAATCATAGTCAAGAATCGTGCTTTTGACCAGACAAAATGAATCTAGAAAAGGAACAAATTTGTAAAGCTGTTCATTCATTCACTGGGATACTACATTCTATGTCAATTTCTAAACCAACGGTCATTATACAGTTAAAATATCAAATAATTGTGCTTCCTCAACATCTAACTCATTTCAAATCTCTGTTATTTTCATTGAAATTTTGTTCAAGAAATTCTATACATTGCCTCTTTTTTAAAAAAAAAACGTTACTACCCACTATAAATATTTATTTATATGATTAAATTTATAATAAATAAATATTTATGTTTTAGAGTTACACAGAATAGTTTAGAATTTGAAATGAGGTAAACAATTTTTCAAAAGTTTGAAATTTTAATTTAATAATAAAAATAAAGAAGGGTAAAATGAAGAGACAGAGTTAAGAAGGCAAAGTATAGATAAAAATAAAAAGAATAGGAGTTTTTTTTACTAAGAATGGTTTTATTCGTTACTACTCTTAATATTTCTTTTAAGAAATATTTTTTATTCATTTATCATTTAAAAACTCGGTATAATATTAATTATTCTTTCATCACTTATATTCATAAAATCATTATTTTTAATTGCATTGATTTTAATGTTTTTAACGTCCACAATTTCCATTTCTAGAAAATGTCACGGGCACCATACAGCGCACGGGTGTTGATATTAATATTGTAGTAATTTTCATATTGATTCGGTTCATCATCTCATTATTATAATATATATATATATATATATATATATATATATATATATATATTTATATAATTTTTTTTATTTAATGTTAAAATGATCATATATTGTTAACAAATAAAATTTAATTATTTTATGTTTTATTATTTCAATAAATTAGTCACCACACGGTCGTTTTTTTTTTCTCTACCCAATTCTTTCAGTATTTTGAAAATAATTAAAATATTAAATCATAATTAGTTAAATCTTTTAATTTTTAAAATCAGATCGATCTTTTTTATTTCTTCATTATAACTCTTATGTATACAAATTTAAATAATAAACATATATATATATATATATATATATATATATATATATATTTGATAAAAAAGAGCTAAAATAAAATTTTCAGAAAATTAATATTGACGTAACTTTGATGAAAACATAAGATTTAAACTAAACTAAAATAAAAATATTGACACTCTCTAATTAAAATGAAAAGAAAAAAGAGAGTAGACAACTAAAAATACAAAATTATTTAAAAGTATAATTACGTTGTTTAATTAGAATATGTGAAAAAAAGTTGTGGAAAAAATTTAAAAGTATTTTTATTTACATAAGAGAGTTAGAATTTGACACATAAATAGTCATCATAAGAAAAAAATAAGTAATTTTTAAATAAAGAGAAAATTCTATACGGGAATGTAATATGATAAAGAAAATTTACTCAGTTTATTGTCAATTTATTTATATATTTATTTAGTATTGTATACAGAGAATATAATTATGAGAAGATATTTTTTTCTCTACCATCTAATATTTTTTATTTTTCTTTCCCCTCGTTTAATAATTATAAATCAAATGAAAAATTAGAATAAATATCAGAGATAATATATTTTAAAAATATTATATAAACAAAATCTTTATCAATTTATTTATCTAACTAAAATATTTACTATTCTTATCAATAATTGAACAACGAAGAATAATATTTTTCTGAAACAACAATTATTTCTTTTCCTCTTATATATATATATATATATATATATATATATATATATATATATATATATATATATATATATATATTTTTTTTTTTTTTTTTCATTTTTTCATTCACTCTTTATTTTTCCTTTTTATCACTAATTATTTACTTGTTACTTTTTTCTTTCCTCTCTTATTGTCTTTTATTTTCCTCCTTTCTTCCACTCTATCCTATTATTCTAATTAAAAATATTATATTAAAATTTAATAAAATTATGTTAAATTATTTTTTTAAAATCAATATTAAAAGTAAAAATTATTTATTTTAAAATTTTTTATTAATTTTTTTATAAATTATTTAAAATTCAAATAATTATAGTAAACTAACATAATCATAATTAAATTAAATTATTAAATAAAAAATAACTCATAAATATTAAATATTTTAATTAAATAAGTAATACTCTTATTTTATGATAAAGTATTTTAAAATTAATTAATTACGATTATCATAAGTAAATAATTTAATGTTATTGTAATTTTAAATAATTAATTATTATTTCTTTTAATTCAAATGAGTATGTTTAATTAAAAGAATAAGTGGACGAGGAAAGAGAAGAAAATAATTGGATAAGAGAAAATATAGAAAAAAAGAGAGAAAAGAATAATAAAAGAAAAACGTACAAAGAGAAAATTAATAAAAAGAAAGATAATACATGTAAACAATAATTAAGTCTAATTAAATAAATTGATAGATAAATATTATATTTTAGTAATACAATAATAACAAATATATTTTTATGAAAATTACATTTTAAAATTGTATTTTTAAATTAATTCCAGAAATTACATTTATCCATTAAAATATAATAATATAAAAAATAATTATTTTCATGTAAATTATATACTAAAAAACTAATATATATTTTGTTAGAAACCCTAGATTTTTAAATTCAACACATTTTTTTTTGTCATTTATTCACAACTCTATAAGAAAATAATTTATACCAAAATTAATAAAAAATTTTAAATTTGACTGACATAATTAGTTAATATTTTGATGTTTTTAAATTAGGTTATTGATTTATTTAAATAATATTTTAGATTTCTATAACTATACATTTAATTTATTATTAAATAGGTAGATTTTATTATTTATTATCATTATAAATATAATTATTTAATTATTTTATGTATTCCGTAAATAATCAATCTCATAAATAATATATTTAAAAAATATTATTTAAATAATTTTTTTAAAGTTTATTTATCTAAGTAATAAAGAAAAATAATTTTGTTTGATATATTAGTTATTTTTCTTTATTTTTTTATTTTTCTCTTTCTTCATTTATTTTTTATTATTATATTTTATTTGTCTTCATTTAGAATTTGTTTTATTTTTTCTTTTGATTATTTTTTTCTTTTGTCACTCTTTTTTATTCTTCAATTTAAAATATTAAATAAAAGTTTAATGAAATTATTTTTTATAAAAATTAAAAATATTTAAATGATTCAAAAGTATTATATTTTAATATATTATATTTAAAAAAATTATATAATAAATTTAAAATATTATAAATATTATTGTTATGATATAATTATTATTTAATTTTTTATATTGAAATTCGGTAAGTTTAAGATGTTAAAAGTATTAGATATTACAAATTTTAAAAAAATTACTTCAATATCTTGAACTTATCAAGTTTTAATATAATATTATTATTTGATATCATTTGACGTGAGAAAGATAAAATAACAATAGGAGATTGACGTGGAGAGAGAAAAATTACAAGAGAATATATAAGAGAAATAATAATAAAAAAAAAGCAAATAAACGAGAGAGAAAAAAATATCCTTTGGAGAGAATCTTATTTCTTATAATCAAATTGTGTAGTTGGCTAAATAAATTAACATGAGTTTTATTTGAGTTTTTTTAATATATTATTTACATGAAAATTCCTTAAATAAATAAATAAATAATATATATATATATATATATATATATATATATATATATATAACTTGTTATAAATTGAAAGAAATAAAAAAATCGTGTATGAATTGAAAAAAAAAAAGTACTAGTTAATCTTTAGTCTTAGTGCATATGTTGTGTGTGTGGTGATTATTAAAATTTAAAAAATATGAAAATATCACTCTCATTAGCATGATCACTCTTTCTTCTATAGGAGTCAATACCACACATCATTTAATTGACTTTGAACGTTGGGTTATGATATTTCAAGCTATAGGATGCGTGATTTGCGTGTAGGGTATTACAAAATTGTGATTACTGTGATAATCTCAATAATCACAATTTAAAAAATATCAAATAAGGAAACAAAATCTAACTAACAAATTATTCCTTGTAATCTTAGATTATATAAATGTTATAAACTTTGAGAAGTGTAATGATCGGAACGATATTTTCCCACTATTCGGTGGCAATTGAAACAAAAAGTTAGGTGGTGGCACTATATATCATATAAAATATTATATTTATCTTTCTTTTAAAACATTAATAAATTTTTTTCATACAATGTCTTTTTGTAACATTGTAAGGAAGGAATGCCTAAAATAAATAATTCAAATACCAAACATCGGATAAAACCATTGCATGCATGCATCTTGACGGCTCCTCTACAAGCATCCTTCGTGAAAAAGGAAATGGTACTGGTTATATAAATGCACGAGTAAACACTAGTTACTCACAAAAATGAGTTTATTAAAATTAAAATTCTTGTTAGTGGGGAGAGGAGAGGGATCGTTCCAAAGTTTTATAACTTCCATAATTTATGATTTTAACTCCTTAAACTTAATGAACATTTAATATATTTATTTATTTATTTATTTACAATTTTATCATCTCAGATCCTTACTCAGTTTTGTAACTCTCGTATAATTTATTATTTTGTCCTCCTCAAACTTAATGATTATTTAATATATTTAAATATATATTTACAATTTTATTCTTTCATCATTTTATCTTCTTTTATATTTATTTATTATTTATTAATAA